CTGAATTTAAATTTTTAGTTAAAAATGTTTTTGGGGGCATTTTGGAGGAGTGGGGGGTGTTTTTAAGGGGTGGGTTTTTATATTTTTTCAATATTAACGTGTCGTACATCGATTTATATGTTTTTATGGATAAGGATCCCGAATTCCATATCAAAATGGAGGTACAGCAAGTTATTCAATGTTAAAAAAGTAGAACGACGCCGACAGACGGCCCGAAAATAACATAAAACGCGCGGTACGCCTCGCCCGCGCTGCACGACATCATTTTAATAAAAAGATAATAATTTTGACGCTATCTTGTATATCTTTCTAGGATTTATTCAAAAATCATACTTTGACATCAAAATTGTAATCTCCACCCCAAGAAACCTATAAAAAGACGTATTGCACTTGTTATAATTATTATCTTTTTATTAAAATGATGTCGTGCAGCGCGGGCGAGGCGTACCGTGCGTTTTATGTTATTTTCGGGCCGTCTGTCGGCGTCGTTCTACTTTTTTAACATTGAATAACTTGCTGTACCTCCATTTTGATATGGAATTCGGGATCCTTATCCATAAAAACATATAAATCGATGTACGACAAGTTAATATTGAAAAAATATATAAACCAACCCCTTAAAAACCCCACCCCAATCCGCCAAAACGCTCCCAAAAATATTTTTAACTAAAAATTTAAATTCAGAAGGCTTAAAAACCCTAAAATCGATGTGTTATATGCCCATATTTTTTAAAACTTTAATTTTTGTATTTTTTTGGCCGCCATCTTGAATTTCTCAAAATGCTCAAGGGTGTCAAGGTGGCATTCTCAAAGTAGACATCCTTACGAACAAAAAACCGTCAAAAAACCTTCACCGTACCTCACTTCCAGGTTAAGCCAAAAATCCCAGTTTGGCATCCAGATTATTAGGGAAGCGATTGAAGAATGAAGGGCACGTCACGGAGAACGGCAGCGACCGCGCGGTACGCCAATAGTGCTGTCGCTTGTTTACTTACATGTTTTCTATAATATTAATAATTATGTTTGTGTGCCAATTAATATAGTTTGCGTTGAGCAGTTTGTTGCTGCCCTTTCTTCCAGTAAGACAACACAAAAGTAACTGGTGATTGCTGAGAAAAAAATTAAAGAACTCCAAATTTCACCACTTCTTTGGGAGTGGCTCCCAAACGAAACACGTTTGACCCTCGGTTTATTTGAAAAAAAGTGCTTATCTTGAACCCCTCGGCCCTCTATTACCCAATTTTCACCCTGTATAACCAACTTTAAATGACATCCTTACCTTTCCATGTCTGTATATATTAGAAGTTTTAGTTTTTGTTAAGATGAATTCAGACATTTTCAATCGTCTGAACGTTAATCATCAATATAACACAAGGTATGGTCATAAGCTGCAGTATGAAAGACATAATCTGAAAAAGTATAAACAAGTATAAATTGTGCACAACTCTTGTACAGATAAAGCGCATTTTTTAACCGAAATAGCTTTTGTTTTGACATCACTAATTGATATATTTCTTGCAGACGTCTCAATCGCCCTTTGTGAGTACCACGAACTTATAAATTAAGATGGGCTGTTAATGCTGAATTGACAAATGACACCTACATGGGGGCCGCCATGATGTGCACTCACATGGCGCGAAATTCAAATCAACTAATAAACAAGCATTAACCCAACATTAACCTCACATTTTCTAAATAAATTACTGTGACACATGTCATTTTCCAAGGCTGCAATAGGCTCAAAACTTGAGCACTAGGAAAATTCCCCTAGAAAATAACTAGAATGTGCACATCATGGCGGAGCCCATGCTAGGGCCATTTCTACCTCTATGCAACTGTTTGATCAGCGGTCCATCTTAATTTATAAGTTCGTGTGAGTACCCTCTTCCGACAATCCGATCTTGAGGTATAAGGGAATATACCTGATCACGATAAGAGGTTGAGGAGGAGGGCTATGGTTGGTAGAAATTAATTCCATTCGTTGAGACTCTTTTCATTAGAGTATCATGATGAAGGATAAAACCAGTTCCACCCCCCCACCCTCTGATCTCGAAAATGACTCGCCCGGAAAAGCTATAGTTTGTACAAATCAGTTTCTTTTGATGAGACCTAAGCGTTCACTTAGCCCCAGGCTTAGCCCCCATTTGATTTTTCCTATTATCTCCGAAACCAAAAAGGCACAAACGATGAGTATGAAAGCACGATTAAACACAATCGAAGTACTACGCAATACCGTCGATGAACTATCAAAAAGTTTAATTTTTTGGAGGGCTAAGCGTTCACTTAGCCCCCATTTGATTTTTTCGATTATCTCCAAAACCAAAAAAGCACAAACGGTGCGCATAAATGCACAATTGAGGCACAATACATAAAAAAAATTGGTTCATTTTTGGGCTAAGGGGGGGCTAAGTGAACGGACCCTATGATAAATGTATGTTTTCTTGATTTATTTTTTGACGGTAAAAAACATTCCATTGAATGCGATTGACGACTGCGTCTTTTCTCTTGCTATGGAAATTCATAATAGCTTTGAAATTTCTTATTCGATCCGTAAGCTCGAGAACTTAAGCCGTTCTCTGCATACGACTAGGAAAGCGCTTCAATAGAAATTATATGGCTCGAATAGCGTGTCTAGGTGTGGGACTTAGTATAACATTTTGAGTAAATTGGATTCTATACCGTGTTGTTAGGTGCCGATGTAAAGATAAAGGACACATCTATGCCTCTATTGTAACAGATTTTTGATTTAATACTCGAATTTTGCATAAATAATTGTAGAAGTACTTGATATTTATGGTATTTTCAGGTGCCGTAATTATTAATATTTAAAAAATATCAAAAATATGTTACAAGAGAGACGTAGAAAAAGGTTTAGAAGCAAACGTGCCGGCATGGCGTTTTCGAGTCTTCGTTTCGTAAAAGTGCAATACAATTTCTTTCATGAAGCCGATTTAAAAAACCTTTCATTTCACATCATAATATAATATTGCACTTCTCTCATTTGAATTTTAATGTTGTTGTTTAAAGTACTTAATTCCAAATTTTGTCTCAAAAACATGTTATTTGTGCATTTATATACGGAAACAGCAATTAAACAATATCTGTAAATGCTCGCACAACTGAGACTGACAGTATATTGCATATTCTGAAATATCCCAAAACATTGTCTATAGGTACAATAATAGTAAAGTTTAATTTCGATCTTAAAGTCTACATAAGGTAAGATCGTTGGAATCAAGATTTACTTGTAAGTTGATAACTTTGACGTCATTTCCTAAGAGGTGTGCAAATAATAACATGTATTACGTAAGCATAAGTTTGTAAATACAGAGATAATATTATTGCAATACGATCTTCACCTGCTGTTATAACTCCCACGCAGTCTACGAGATAAGTACGCGAAAGTAGCGTCATCTAAAGAAATCTAATCACTTTGATTCAGTTGAGTAGGTGGTATAAAACCTCGATTAAAATTTAGTTACTTTTGATAGTTATAAATTCAATGCTTTTAATAAGCGGAGTTTGTCCCAGAGGGCAACCTACGGAGAAACTCCGTTAAAGTGGACCCTTCAAAAAGCATTGCGTTGTCTTTCTATTCAGATTTATTATTCAATGCTATAAGCGAATATGTTTGTCCAAAAGCATATTGCTATGTGCAATGGCAAACGGTCAAACAAAATCTTTTATACGAAATAATAGCGGTTTACAGTAAAGTTGAATTCCGTAGTTGTAATTTAATAAGCGTATACCGGAAACAATAAAACAATTTTTTGGACAGTAAAAGTTTATTTAAAAATAGTGGCTGATTAGAAACAAAATAATGAACATGTGCGGTATTAGGGGTTTATTCAAAACGAGATGATTGTGGCGGGCTCTGTGACGTAATAAACCCCACCAATCAGCTGCTAGAACCATTCACATGACATACCCACATACACTTGGCAATATTGCAGGAGAATGTCATTTGTAATTGACTGTACGCTGGAAGCATGATGGAAGATCATATTTGGGGGGTTAATATGAAAAACTTCTGTTGAACATGACAAAAAAAGCAAAACTGTTCCAATTTTAAACATTTAGACAAACAAATTATAAATGTAGGAACGTTACCTTTTAATAAATAATTTCTATGTAAAGCACATTTTAGGTGTTTTTATTTATTTGCATTTTTTTTTCACACAAAATCAAATACAGAACCTTTTTTTGTTCTAATTCTTATTTGTGGCCATACAAGCAACAAAAATAAGGTATATATGTCCCATGCGCAAAAATGCTGTAGACCAGTGTAATCTAGGGACTTTATACCCATTGAGTAATACTCAACGGTATACCGTATACCTAAATGTGTTTCCCATAAAATGCATAAGGTTAGCAATCTGTTCTATGTGTAGATCTGTGCCTATAGTGATAAAAGGGTAACACAACACAAAACTCGTGAAAAAATAGTTGCGGATGGGCAAATTGATCGAAAGCAACATTTTGGATCTTTGGTTTATTTGAAAAAAAGATTTGTGTTGGTACAATAAATGCCAGTTTTTTGGCATACATATATGTTACACGGTTACTCCCTGTACATCGAGATGTACCTGCACAGTCATAATGATCTGAAGCATGTAAAACTTGCTTCAGCAGAAGTGCAGTAATACTGTACACCCACTACAACTTAACAAGATATGATCACTAGCAGAACGAATTTCGCGCATGACGTCACAGTGTGACAAACTTGCATGGGAGAATCAGGCAAAGCACGGCTTTTAATGTAATTTCGTTAGGATTTTTATTGCTAATAAATAATAATTTATATTTTCCGTTGACGGTAAGTAAGTTCATACAGTCATAGAGTAATAAAAACCACACAGACAGACAAATACAGAGGAACTATTTTTATAAAAATAAATGTGGAGAAAAGGTAGGCAAACTGCATGAAATACCAGGCCGATAATAAATTTAACAATTTGCTCATGTTGCTCTTGTACCTATGCTATTAACCGAGCTCGAGCAAGCTATTAATTTAGTACCTACGTAAAGTGTTTACAATTTAAGTAAGTGCAAATAATACATAAAAAACTCACCATGAACAGTTAGCTCAGAGTCTCGATTAACTTCATAAAGCCTAATGGCTTCATCTAGCTCCAGTTGAGACGAAATGGTACAAGGGTCCCCTTCTTCATCTACCCATTTCATCGTAAATGCTTGATCGTGAGTAAAACGACAAATTTCGCGCATTTCGTTACAAAGCTCCTCCAAAGAAATATTCTGATTAATATACGTAATGAGTACTTCGCCATTATATGCGATTTTGGCACGTATTTCGTGAATATTGTTATCGTGCGCTAACTGAGTGGGCATTTTACTAATTTAACGTTGAATTGTTCTTGTTAGAATAGCTGTAAAAAAATAGGCATTTACCAATCAAGTTTATTTGTCATGTCTCAAATATGTGTTATTAGTCACCCCCAATCAAGTGAACAATATTAATGTAGATAGCTATAAATTATATAACTTACTTCCGTTGTCTCATACAAACGAATAGGTCTATTAATTAGCACTAATAACAGAAGAATAATTTTTAACACAAAATTTCTAACCTAAACGATGCTTCGTCAACAAAGCAAAGCCCACCGCAATACTTCAAAAACTCATCGTTAGGTGTCCACACTGTACATTAAAAACAAGTACCTACTGCATACTTTATTTGAACCTCCTCGGTGAATAATGTGCGGCGAATTTAAAAATATTATGTAACCGAAATAGGCCGAACTCTTGACCAGAAAGAATGAAATATGTCTATTTATAGCAAAATAATAATAATAATAATAAATGTCTTTATTAGGCATTTAAACAAAGTAAATATCTAAATAATATAATATATTAAAGCTAACTGCCTAAGGGCGGCGTTCAGTCAATTGAATTTATAGTTATAAATTCAATGATAGAAGCATGCTTGACTGCTCTTTCACTCATTAGACTGAGTGCATTGTAGAAGCTAACATTTATGAATACTGGCAACGTCGTACTGACGAAAAGCGGAAGTGTCGCGCATGTGCCGGTCGTATTTGTCGCAATGAATCGGAGATTCTTGTCTAACCTTAAAAAAAACACTAAATAGTGACAAGGCAATTTGTGGGTATTATTTGAAATTTGAAAAAACTAAGAAAAATGCCTATAGAAAACCTGGAAGAAGAAGGTTTGGAAAAGAACCCAGACCTGCAATTAGCGCAACTAAAATTTTTACTCACCCTCAATGAATACCGCAACGACAAAGTCATACATACAAAGATTCTAGATGGAATAAAAAAAGATGGTTTGTCTTTTAAATTGTTTGATTAAGCCTTAATATTATCTATTTAGATATGGCTCCTTGGTATGAGCTCGTTTGTCAAGACGCAGGATGGAAGCCAGACACAGATTTGCTTAACAGAATGAAGGCCGAAAATGAAAAACAATTAAAGAAGCTCGATGAAGCTATTGAGGATGCCGAAAAGAACTTGGGTGAAATGGAAGTACGAGAAGCGTACCTTAAAAAAGCGGAGTATTACAGTCGGATCGGAGACAAAGACAATGCAAACACAACCTTCCGTCAAGCATATGAGAAAACTGTCTCTTTAGGTCATAGGCTTGATATAGTATTCCACATGATTCGTATTGGTCTATTCTTTATGGATCATGACATTATTGTGCGTAACATCGATAAGGCAAAAACGTAGGTAATTTTGTGACTGTGGGCTTTTAAGTAGATTGCTTGTAGATTAATAGAGGAAGGGGGCGATTGGGACAGAAGAAATCGTTTAAAAGTGTACCAAGGCGTTTATAGTATGGCAGTGCGTGATTTTAAAACTGCCGCCACCATGTTTCTCGACACCATTAGCACATTTACTTCGTACGAATTGATGGATTATCGCACCTTTGTACGGTATACTGTCTTCATGTCAATAATAAGTTTACCACGGTATCAGTTGAGAGATAAAGTGATTAAAGGTTCAGAGATTCTGGAAGTGCTTCATTTTATGCTCGATATTAAAGATTACCTCTTTTCTTTGTATGAATGTCACTATTCGGAATTTTTCAAAAAATTAGGTAGGTAAATAGCATTTGGTATTTTTATGTTGTAAGTCTCGAAATTCTAGCCGAAGTTGAACGTGTTCTGCGAGAAGATTACTTATTACACCCTCACTATCGTTACTACACTCGTGAAATGCGTATTTTAGCCTATTCACAATTGTTAGAGTCGTACAGATCACTGACTTTACAGTATATGGCGGAAGCTTTCGGTGTATCAAAGGATTTCATTGACCAGTAAGCGTCGAAAATGTTATATTCAGTTGTTTTTAATGCCTGTTTTAGGGAATTGTCAATTTTTATCGCTTCGGGAAGAGTCCACTGTAAGATTGATCGTGTTGGTGGTATTGTAGAGACAAATCGTCCTGATCAGAAGAATGCCCAATTTAATTCGGTTGTGAAACAAGGGGATTTATTGTTGAACCGTGTGCAGAAACTTTCCAGAGTTATTAATATATGATTTGTACAATATTTATGAATCAGTTTTTTTTTTAATAAACATTCTTGAGTCGGATTTATTCTTTGACACCCCTAGATCGGTACCATTGGTTATTCATTTATTCTACCTTGCATACTTTTTCCCAAAATTATAAATACACCCAAAACATCGGTAAAGCCGTAAAGTTTTTCAATATATTTTTTTACACATGATAAAAAATTATGTACATATTTCTTCATGTGGCTACTTGTCTAAGTTCATTAATCAAATCAATATGGAATATAAAAAATGCTCTTTCCCAAGGACGTGCAAAACTATCCCACAGCATATGAGAAAGTACTGTTTCGCCTATAGATAGAATTCTTAGTCGATTACTTAAAAAAATTAAATGTTACCTATACTCAATAATGAAAGATCAGTGAACTCATTTTCTAACTTTATTACATAGTGTATCTAGTATTTCGAACATTGTTGTGTTTTATAAGCGGTTACACACTTAGCCATTGTAGCAGAAGCTCTACTTATAACATCGGTCATGTAGAAATCTTCTAATGATTTTTGTGTAACCGAAATAGGTTTCTTATTTACAGTTGCCGACTCCTATAATCAATATTATAGTACTGGACAACGTTAGATTCCAACATTACCTTCAGTGCTAGCGCTAATGCTTGTGAAAAGTAATTTGCAGATTCCACATTCCCATATCTGGTCAGATGTGGTGCAATTTCTTCTAAACGGCACCGGATTTGATCTAAATTATCGTACGGTAGCCGTTGGCCAACGAACTCTGATAGTGCTCTAATAATTTTCCAGTCCTCACGCGCCAATCCGGGTGGAGACACTGCAACAAGAGTTTGTTGTGCTCTTCCTTCTGTATTAACATATGTCGCTTGTTTTTCTGTATACGCAGCGCCAGGTAAAACTGCGTCAGCTATAGCAGCGCCACAATCACCATGATGACCTATTAAAAAAATTTCTAAATTAGTATAAAGATAAAGTATTAATTCTCTCTAACCCTGATAAATTATAAAGCAATCGGATGGAAACTGGGATCTCTCTATTGCTTCATCTGCTCCCAATAAGTAAATAACCTTTAGTTTGGAATTATCTTTAAGTTTTTCGTAACCGGGGACATATCCAACGTCTAATGCTGCAACCTAAATGACAACGGTTATTACCCAATTTGAAAGTAATTACTAATTATGACAAATTTACTTGACCCGCCACTTTATGCAGAATGTTTAGAACTTTCCACTGTGGATCTTGTACATTTTTTTGAATGAGCGCCGCCAGAGATTGTGCTGCCAACAGGACTCCGCTACCGTCAGGTCGATTTAAAGCATCCTGCCCGACGATAATGAGTGGTTTCTTAGCATTCTTTAGGCATTTTGCAAATGTATCGTTTCCATTTTCTAGGTCTTTAATAGAGCAAGGATCGTCACCTACATGTGTGTAATCGTATCGTAAATCCACTTGAGGGCCGATAACTCCAATCTATTACCAAAGACATTATAAATAAATGTTTTAGTAGCAACCAGGACCTATGAATATTAAAAAATCAATGTATAGTTAATACACTGATTTTTTAATATTCATAGATCCTGGTTGCTAAGTCAGTATAGTTAATACACTGATTTTTTAATATTCATAGATCCTGGTTGCTACTAAAACATCCGGTTTCTATTTACTGCAAAACATAAAAGATCACCCTGTTCAGTACACCTTTGCCGATTTTGCAAAACACATCTGAATGAATTACACGAGTATGTTACTCTCGATGTTACTATTACTCCACACATTCAACATTTACAAAAGATGTCTTGCAGAATCTGAGTTGCAACTACTATATGACATATCAATGGTAACCATTGCGTCTATACTTAATGCTGAAGTACTTACACCGAATTGTTTAGTAATTCGTACCTCAGTTTCATTATGTACATATCCTTTCCTAATTCTGGCATTTAACAACGGTGCCTCCAGTCGTATGTTAGTCCCCACTAACAATACCACATCAGCTTCTTCGGCAGATGCAATTGTATTATTGAGTAGGTAACTGGAACGCAAGTCTGTACCAGAACCATTTACAGGGAAAGGATTTTCAGTACACACGTCTTCAGAACCGAGCTTATTTATAAGATCTTTTAAAGCAACTAGTGCTTCTGCGTCTGCCATACCTCCCGCTATTACTCCAATATCCGAACCTAAATTTTCGTCAAATTAAATATAATTGCAAATCACAAAGCAGAGTAGTTACCTACCGGCGGATTTTATTTTTTTTCCAATAGCAATTAACGCAGTTTCCCAGTCAACTGGTTGTAGTTGTCCATCAACTTTTACCATCGGCGATACCAATCTCTGCCTCTTCAGTCCGTCATATGCGAATCTAGATTTGTCGGATAACCTAAACAAACCATTATTTACGTTTGTACTTGGTATAGGTAGCTAATATAGCGCTATCATTGTATCAACATCCAAATAGAAGCACAATGGAAAGCATTTTCGTTGAGATATATCTTTGAACATGCAACATACCCATATATACATTCCAAATTTCGAAGCTAAAACTTTTTGTCCACACGACCCTTTTGGGGTGATATGGGGGTAGTAATTTTCGAAAATATTTTCCAAAATCTAAAATAGCGTACTCAAAAACTTGGGTGAAAGCTTTTCCTACATTTTTGCTATTGCAAAGAGTATTAAATATAGAGAGATTCAACTCTACCTGTTAGATTATCTCTGTACAATCCTGTGTTGCTGTTAAAAACATGTATGGGATGTTCAGGTATTTCCCGTATACTAATAAGTTACCTTGAGAATGAATGGGTTGCATCAACAACAAATTTAGCATCACACAACCTTATCATCTGTGAAGATATTTAAAAATATCGAAAATCAAAAAAACACAAAGGCTTCGGAATACCCTTTTCAATTTTGCAAAAATTTTTTTCAAATTCTACCACGAAAACGCGCACCCTTACAAGGGATTTCAATGGCTTGTGTTTACAGTATTTCCGTGGCAAGTAAAAAACCGTTTCTGTATGAAAATGCACGTCTTAAAGAAAAAGTTGATAACTTCACACCATACCCGCACGTCTGTCGGTGGTCTCATTTCCGATTAAACAGGTGAGCCTATTGCAACCTGAAAAGCATTTGGACAAAATCGCGCATTCACAAGTGTGTCAAACTCTCATTTCTGGTTAAAGGGCTGAACCAATTGGAGGCAAATTTAGTTCTATTCTTAGACATAAAAGGGCAGAATCGCGCATACACAGGTGGTCTCTGTGCTAGCAAAAGCAAATTTTTTAGTTATTGATGGATATCGATACAAATTTAATGCAATATAACATACGAAATGGGTATGTTGCAATGGCTTGTGGTAAACCGTTTCCCTATAATTGTAACGAATATTCCTGAAATCCCGATAGACATCGAGGCGCTATCAAAGATTAGCCATCAGCGATAAAAAAGTAAGGCTGATGTGCCGCATTCTTTCCTGGAAATATGAAGTGTTTGTTCTAGAACATTCCGAATCGTTCTTGAGCACTCGACAACATTCTAGAAAAATTGTTGTTTGCTGAAAATGCTCGTTCCTAGGTTTGTAAACTTAGAAATTACGTGTCTTTCTCACACATAGGTACATGTTCACCAAAAAGAGTCTCTTAAAAATGTTTACTGCACTCATTTTCGTCCCCTAATACCGTCGTTGCATTGAGGATAGCAGAAGAGCTAAGATTATCAATGATGACTTCAGTAATTTGATAATTTTGTTGGCGAATAGCGGCGTATATGTTTCAAAATCTACTAGTACATAAATCCTATGAGAAGAAGTAAAATCATGACATGGTTAAAAATGACCCATTAGAATGCCTTGATCATGCAAGACCCTTGGCCATTAATTACTATAGATTCTTCTTGATTTAAACATATGTATAAAGTTGTGAATTCAGTGACCCTATGCAATTCTTCGTATGGCATTAAAAATCTAAACATTGTTTTGTGTAAATATTTAGTTGTCATTTTTTGCTCAATGTAAACTCTGGTTAAGTACAAGAGCAACACGAGATACACAATACAAAATTAATAAAATAGTTAAGCATTTGAAAGAAGACACTGGGTTATTCTCAACGCAGGATCTCACTATCAGGGTGTTACAAAGACACTCCTACCTTTAACTGTACAGGGGTTCTGGATACGTTTTGGTTATTGCATGTTACTATAATTTAACGGAATGCATGAAAAACTATAATTTTCTGTTACTATCGCCACACTACCACCTTTTCAATCCCGTTGCCCTTCTATTCAGATTGTTATTCAATGATGCTACCCTACCATTCTTCATTGACTTCCTCATTGGTGCGTGGCAATATTCTTAGCACCTCACCCGTACGGGTACATACAACTATATTGGAACCAACGGCATCTAACACATCAATAGAGTCGGTTCGACGAATTTCCCAAGGACGAGCCGTGAAAGCATAAGGTTTACTAGTAAGCGCCCCTACGGGACATAAATCGATAACATTCCCAGATAACTCGGATAAAAAGAATTTCTCAACATAAGTTCCCACTTGCATATCAGCACCTCGCCCCGTAGTACCTAAAATTTAAAATGTCATCTTTGCCCTTACAACAAAGAACACAAACCTAAATCATCGATACCAGCTACTTCGGAAGCAAACCGTATACACCGTGTACAATGAATACATCGTGTCATTATGGTCTTAATTAGTGGTCCAATATCTTTATCTTCCACCGCTCTCTTACCGGAAAAATCTATGTCAGTGAACCGGGATCGATCCGACCCAAAAGCCATTGATTGATCTTGCAAATCACATTCACCACCCTGATCACAAATCGGACAGTCCAAGGGGTGGTTTACCAATAGAAACTCCATGACACCTTCTCTCGCTTTCTTAGTCATCTCCGAATCAGTCTTAATACGCCAGCCTTTCATGACGGGCATCGCGCAGGCCGCAACCGGTTTAGGCGACTTTTCCACCTCGACGAGACACATTCTGCAATTGCCAGCGACCGCCAATCGTTCATGATAACAAAATCTCGGTATCTCAACGCCGACTAATGCGGCCGCTTGGAGTACCGTTGTACCCGGATCGACTAATACAGGTTTATCATCTATGAATACTTCAATTTGAGCAGGTTTTTTGGCATCTCCCGCTCCTCGTGTCACAAGGACTCCTAATTGTTTGGGACTTACGAAAGCTCCGTTTAGAGCTCTTTGCGCCGCTGTACGTAACATCTACAAGAAGAAATGTAGGTAATTTCTCAACTTTGTATTATATAATGACAGATGTGTGAATTCTAACCTAGTTATGGAACTCTGTACTTCAAAAATAAACTACGTAAGACATGTTCGTTATTCCTTAGCCTATACTCTTTCCTTCTCTAAGGTTTATTCATTCAATGGAATGGAATATCACTATGCATTGTAATAGGAAAGAGACGAGAAACTAATCGATTAGCTGCACGTTAACGAATAAAAAAACTCTTCTTTTTAACCTTATTATTTCTTTTAAATTTACTTAAAAAATACATTTGCAATTGTTATTTACCAATTAGATTAATGATTTCAAAGAAAAATTTAATTACAATTTCTTTTCTCTCAAAATTTGGATGCTGCCTATTCTTCAGTGTCTGTTTTTGTTATAATATACAGGGCGTAACAATAAACGATTTTGATCTTGATTAAGGAATTTCTTCTATAATTCCAAACCGAAAGCGGTGCTATAAGGCTTGGCAAACTGTATTAGTGAATATTGAAGTCCTAGTCGATGCTTGAATACTACTTATGGAAAAAGTTGTCGAGAACTCACTGGATAGGGAGTAGGTATATGTATGTACTTCTGAGCCCTGAGGGGTATTCCAATGATAATTGTCAAACTTAGCACTCCATGATGCTGATGCTGTAGAGTGTAGCATTGACTAATGGGGGGGGGGGGGGTATTTAGTCAATGAGTGTAGACTGTAGAGATAGGGTATGGAATAGTTACTTCTCAGAAAAGGAACATTCAAGTGTCCTTACCCGAAAACTATAATGAGTGCCTTTAAGGCTGAACGCTTTCGCGGGAGAACGTATTCCATACCTCTCATTACTTTGCCAGAAGCCAAACTTGGCTTCAAAACATAATATATACCTACCTCAATTCAGAAAAAGATTTAATAGTCAATAATTACTAGGGTTCCAGTGCACATTTCAAAGAAACCTGTCGCTAGTTAATATATATGGATCAAAACCACAGCATTGTTCTCCAAAAATAACAAACGCAACGCCAAAGGTCTTCAAGTTTGTACTTTGGGATCGGTAAAATAAATGATTATAATTTCTACAGATGTGTTTCACCAATACCATCGCACTTTCCCTGTGATATCCCATACACATGTTGAACCTACCCATAAATCACACTACTATATTCAACTATTTCGCTCATCTGCTGTAAAAAATGTAGTATTTCCAAAGGAGCTATAAATCTAGAATATTTAGTTAAGAATTGTTTAATAAGCACTATCAATGTCAGTTTTCGCCATCCCAGGTTTTCACATCTTTTTTAGTAATAACATTTCTTGTACCTAGTATATATCGTATTAAATAATAAAATGACAAGCATTTAAATAAATAAACAACAGAAACACTAAAATCACATCCAAGAATAGAAAAAACTTAACATTACAACATATCTATATAAACTTTACAATTTTTTAATATCAATCAATTTCATTTGGTTTCTACACTAGCGTTTTTTAAACAACGTGGTAATGTAAAACGTACTTTCCACCATTAGCACTACCATATTCAGAGAATAATTAGCGTTGAAATGTTTATATTAAAAGCGCGCAATTACAATAACATACCATATAAAAGTGTTAAAAAAGTTTCCTCACTCAGATACCTTCTGAATTGTCTAAATAGGTACACTACAAATATCTCTAATTATTATTATTATTATATTATGGAAGACTCATTCGCTGCACTAAACGCTATAACAAACAGAAAAGTTAAGAAATATGAACCCATTGACTTTTATTATGTTCGGCGTCAATTGCTGCCTTTACTTGAGTGCACATGTAGGCGATGTTAACTCCAGCAGGGATGACCGCTAAGTAAAATCATAGTGTTAAAAAACAGGGTTAGCACCCAAAGTTTGTCTTTACCTGTAATTTGGTGTCTGTACTCAACTTCAAGTTTAAGGCAATGCTCATACATTTCTTTAGCTGCTTTCCCTGAGAGCTTATCTAAGGGATAACGAGTATCCTTAACCTCTTTAATCTGTTTAGTGCTCTTAAATTTAATCAACAACACTATTGGACATATTTGATGTCTGTGCAATTTTTCTACCGACGACACCGAAATATCTAACATACAATGCAAGTGCTGCAAAAAATTAAAAGCCAGTGTCAAAATAAACTAAAGCAGTAACACAAGTTACCGAATTGCAAACGGATCGTATAGCAGAAACAGTTGTGCATTCGAAGTAATTTCCTTTCCTTCGGTAGTCGACAATGAGATTATCGGCCAATTCTTGATCTAACGCCGCTTGAGAACAGTGCCTCGCCTCTTGAGTCACCTTTTGAAATTTCTCTGGGAAATCTGCCACTAACTTATCGACGACACATTCTGCGAGAGGTCCGAGAACCAGGACTGGACGAAATTCTGGAACTGTTTTCCAATTGATGCATTTGTACTATAATATAATTGTACATACGGGTGACCCATGAAGTGCGTATCTACATGGGAACGGAAGAATAAGTGGTTATGTTTTTATACATTTATCTTTGTGATGTATTTACAGGACTGGGTAAATTAAGTACTCAATGCACATTAAAGCTAAAAAATAATGCACAACCGGTTGCAAGACTACCTCGCAGATAACAGCAGCAGATGTCGGATGTGTGTCAGGAGAGGTTATAAAGATGTAAGTTTCTATTTTAATTTGATTTGAGCTAGCTAAACAGTTGTTTCATGTAGTGACTGCACGCCATTGCACATAGCAACATGTAGTAAAAGGGGAGGGGTCATATATGTATTAGAGTTTGCAACGCAATAGGTAAAGAAATATATGTCAAGTTGAATGTAACATTTCAAGTTAGTTTTCAATAAAAATAAATAAACAAGTTGTTCGCTTAAGTGTTAATATAAAACAGAATTTTCCTAAACAATTCCTCCGAAACTGTCCTCGAAATCTCGACACCTTTCTTGGGTCAAATGCCTAAGCTATCAGCTATCAAGTGTATAGAAAACGCTTGCACTTTAAGCACAACCATTTTGGCAAGAAATTGGTTTGCACGACAGACATGGGACAGCAGAAGGCTCGCAACATTTTTAGCACTTTCACCTTTGAACCCCACATAGCATGATGTTGAAGTTTTTGATTTGCGAACTTAGTGGAGTAAGGAGTCCTATTTCTTTATTCAATGTGAACCCAAAAAGATTCCCGGCCATTAGGAATTTTTTGTGAAAATTTCGAAACTAAGCATGTTTTTGTTAATGAATAAAATAAACATGCCTTCTAGAAACCCATCTGATGCATGCTTCTTGGGTCACACACATAACTTACAATCCAATTTTTCGACACGCTGATACGAACACAGTGATAAATCTTCATGTAAAGTCCCATTATCAGAATACCATCCGGAGGAAACATTACAAAAACTTGCCAGCTCTTTGGAGTCACGTGATCCACTACGCTGATGTTTCTTACGTCGGAAGAAACTCCGTCGAGCTGAAGTTGATCCTCTCGTTTCCAAATCGCCTGTACTTCGTTTTAACAATAACTCTTCTTCTACCCTATCAACGAAACATTACATTTTTACATATCAAAATCTTATTTACTTGTATTTGCTTGGTATAATGCCGCATTGTTGACGATGTCCGTCATTATCAAGTTTCCAAGCACGCCAATGTCCCGGTACACCGTTAAACATCGTATTATCGACGTATAACACGTCGTCCTTGTTGAAGCAGAGCTGCAAGCTATCTGTAAGCTCGCTTCCGCTTCTGTCAAACAAACAGCGGATGTACAAACTATCACCAGGCTTATCCTTAACCTCATTATAACCTAAAATAGCTTTGGTAATTACAAAGACTGTAAGCCCAAAACAAACTGAGAAAGGAACTTGCAGCCAAGAAAATAAAAAAATTATGAATGTTCAAAACCCGCTGAGATAAAAAGCAAGAACCCTATCCAGCTGCGCACCATCTACAAAATATCCTAAAACATTTTTCTTCCCACTAAGATTCATTTCTATGTTTGCTTGTTTCGGGCTGTAAACGAAAGTTAGTCATACGATCTATCCTGTAGTGTGCCAAAACCGTCACTTTATCGGCAGGTTTGGCCAACTCATAAGCTGCCTCTTCTGCTGTCGCTTGACGAAGATCGCTTCCATTGTACTCTAAAATTTGGTCACCCGTTCTTAGGCCTGCATGATATGCCAAAGAATCGGGTTGCACAGAGTGTATAAAAATACCGACAGCATTTCCTCCAACTAGCGAAATTCCTAGATTTGATGTTTTTAATGTCTCAATATATAAGTAACGTGGTTCATCATCATTTCTGCAAGCAAAAATTGTGGCAGTTTTAATTATGTTAAGACGATAGTGGTACAAAATGGGCAACTGATTTGGAAATAGATATTATGGTTCGGTAATAAAAAAAAGAGGGAGCACTAAATATAAATATAGAGAGAATTGCGGTCACAGAACACCTGATGCCGGTCTGCAATTGTATATTTTTTATATTAAACCATATTATTTTAGACCGCCATCAGGGGTTCTGTGACCGGTATTCTCTCCTGGCGAACATTATAGTGGCATTTAATAAGAAGTAGACATAGGGATTTTACGTACATTATTTTTCTCTAGAACACCTAGAACGAAAAATCGTTAATAAATATTAAAAATAATAAAGGTCCCAGAACCTTGCGGCACACCTCTTTGAAGTTTAAGAATCTTGGATGTATTTCCATCAACCTTTACAGCTTGCATTCTATCGCTCAAATATGATTTGATCAATGCAGTGAAACAGCAACGAAACATTCGCTTCATTTATAGAATTCATTACAACAGAATATGATTCTTTTTTTTGTAAATGTAAGCTGGTCGCTAGTAATCCCACAAATGCTCTCAAAATATATCGGTTTAACCAGAATATAAAGGGAAGCAGAGATATTCTACATTACTGAATATCAGTAAATGAAGGATTGTAGGGTTGTTAGTAACACTACACTCAATGCATTCAGGAAGCAATATCGAGCTTAAATTTATACCTTCAAAAAGAAGGCAAACAATGTTTATATTAGTGGAGCATCAAACATACAAAAGGCTGCTTGGGATGTAATTGAAAAATGCAAATTAGAAACGAAGTAAGCAAATAAGTGAGCAACCATAAGGTTTTCAGTAGTTTTTTTTCCTTCCTTGTAATCAATGAAGACCCTAGAGCTACTCTCGGTTGTAAGAGGGCAACTTTTATTTAAATTTTGATTTGAATGTTTTAACGTTTTAATTAAATTTCACTTCCCCCTTCTCAATTTGTTGTGTTTTATTTATGTTGGTTTAAATGATCCTCCGAGTGACGAATTTATGCAGAACGTACCACATATTAACCATGCGGCAAAAATCGGCCGTTATGACTGGACACGGCGAAACGAGGTACGTTTTGTCTAACGCTCCGTCCTCACTTCTACCGCTCACGTAGGACGGTGCGTAGATAGGTTCCAAACACGGTACGCTTTGATGGCGGCGGAAATTTTAAATGGTTGTTTTTTGAGAAAATAAGTTATACACCAAATGAAAACGTTGATAATAGCCCTAGCGAATACTTTCTCTGGTAATTTACATACCGGCTGGTGCTATTTTGGCGTGAGTTAGGTGGTGGTTGTGACTTCCTACTTAAAGTGTTTTGATTCGCAAGAGGAACATTTCGAGAATTATGATGAGATTTTCGTACTCCTTTGGGTGAATTGCAAGGTGTTGGTTCGCCATCTCCTTCGTCATTAGAACTTGAACCAGTACACGATCCGGAATCTTGAAGTTCGTGATATTCTAAAAGTCAGATTAATTAATTTTCCTGTGATAACTATGGCACCTACTGTCGGGGCTGTATTGAACTAGCATGGTAATAGAATTTCCACATTGCCGCAGAACATTGGCCGCCAAATTATAGGTAGCTTTCCTCATGTTAATGCCGCAAACTTCCAGTAACTGATCACCTATTTGTAATCCGACCCGACTAGCTAAACTGTTATCGTTCACCGTCGATACAAATATTCCGCCGCTTTCCGGACAATTAATTTGGATACCTAAGGGTTCGTTTGATTTGTCAATATGAACTCGTCTCAACTCGCCGGGTAGGGGTTTTTGTGGCCAACAATAGTCCGGAACGCTGTTTCTTTTGTCCCTATTACCCGGGCTTAGAACTTCCACTTGAAAAATAGGCATCGGGCTACCTCTCTCCGACGTGTGCTCAATGCTACCAGTACTAACTTTCCCAGCAGAATTCTTCGACGTTACACTCGGGTTTGACGGAATACGAAATCTTGGATTCTCTTTCTTTCGAGGAAATGTACCGCCTTCGTAACCCGATGTATAATTCACAGGTATCATGTCGGAATCTCGATAAGGTACGTGAGCGTGCGGTGGAATACTGTTCATTCCCATGGTAGCTTTTTTTGGATAGTTGGCTTCCACTGAGGGGCTATGAGAATGAAATGTGGAGTAAGGCGGTTCGAAACAGAAGCTTTCCCGCGAATGACTGGTTGGAAAGTTTAGCGGCGATGGGTTCGAATGAGGGTGGGGATGTGGGTGGAATGGAAACGGGATACGCTGTTGTGGTCCGAAGAGTTGCGAATGAATTCGAGAGTGTGATGTTGGAACGCCAGACATTGACTGGATGTCATGATTTAAGGTGCTATCACGTTCCGAATCCGATACATATTTCATAGCACCTACAACAATTTAACTTATTAGTGACGGGTCACATACAGGGTGGCTTATTTGCTGTGCACGGCATTGGAATCCTTCAAAGGTTGATTGCTTTATTACTATAGCACGTTCGTACCTCCAGATGAAGTATAAGATCTTATGGACAAAATGCCTCTTTTACTAAAATCAAGATAAGAATTTATAGGAAATAAATTGGACTCAAATTCGCGGAGTTTTTTTGTGAAGAATCGAGCCCTCTCCGTTTTGAAATAAATGTATAGAGGTAATTTTTAAACACAGGATGTTCCGAATCAAGTGGAATTGCATGGGCAACTTCATGATTATGAAAGATAGATTGGATTCGAGTAAAATTTCGTATAAAAAATTTGTAAAATCAACCCGCCAACTTCATTTTGACATCATTTTTACCACCCGCATGTTAATAAGGGTGTATTGCAATGAGGTAAAAAAACCCACTTTTTTTAAGGAAATACACGTTTTGAAGCACCAGGAATCCGAATCAAACAAAATCTTGATGATGGTCTGTCTATTGGTCCGCCTGTACTTTCATTTCTGGCTAAACGACTAAACCTATTCGAACCAAATTTGGTACACATATTCTTAGACATAAAAGATAGGGCTTGCCAGTCTTTGGACAAAACGCGCATGCGCAGGTGTGCGGGTGGTATCTGTGCTAGCCACAGCAACAGCAAATTTTTTAGTTTGTCCTACTAAAAAGAGAAACCTTCACATTAAAGGGGAGATTTAAACTTTAAAATCAGATGGTTTCAGTTCTTTTTAAATAACTTTTAATCTGATTCGAATTTTCAAAACACGCAAGACTGCACAACTTTGATCATTTAACCTAGTGTCAATATTCAATAATAACAAAGTTACCTATGCAATTCCACTCAATCTGGAACACCCTGTATGCTACAGTTTTTGACAAGTATCAAAACTTTCATTTCAAATTCAATATTTCATTTTGTTATTAATGTTATTATTATTAAAAGCACAACATGAAATACAGTTTCCTTTAAAAATATTAAAACTCAAAATGGAGAATATGTCTTTTATAGGAATGCAACCACCAGCTTTTGAAGAAAAGTCATTTTCAGATGTGTAAATATGTGGTAACACCTCAGGTAGCACTATATAAAGGTAACAATTGCATGATTCAATTTAATTTCCAATAGGCACATCTTTTGCATTTAATTGGCATCGTAACTGATTCCATGCTGTATGTAGCAAATACGTCACCACCTATACATGAAATAGGTTATGCACATTTTGCTATACACCCCAATTTACTGATTCAAATCCAATATCTCGTTGACCTGAGGATTGCACCCCCAAATGAAAACGTTGATAATAGCTCTTAAAAAAATATTTTTCAAAACTCACGAACATTTGATAACTCTGTAAAACACAGAGAAACACGAGGAACAACTAATGTTAATCAGCCCAGTCCCTATATTATAAGAGCTAAAATTTTCAATAGTCTGCCATTAAAACGACCAACAACTTCCATACGTTCAAACGTAATCTAGTAAGTTTCCTTTTAGACAAGATGTTCTATAACGTTGAAGAACTCTTAAATGATCCTGATGCACCTACTCATATTTGACTTTGTCCTATACATTTTTATGTCGTAACAGGATTAGGAAACAGGCAGTGCAATAGGCAGGTTCGACATTTACATATTTATTTTTACTGAAATCGGGAGATCTTCCTTAAGGAATGTTAAGATAAGTCACGATTCATGAAAGGAAGAATGTTTATCTTGCATCATTCAATATCCTGTGTGCCACATAAATGCATTACAAATACGTTTCTTGAGTATCTAGAATTCTGTATGCAACAATTACAAATCGAGATAGTGGGTTCATTACAGATTCCTGTATAATAATTAACAAAGGTAAAAAACTGACATTATTATTCATCTTTCTTGATGGTAGAGACATCTACGTCTTGCAATTCAAACTATTGAAAACCGTCACATGTCCTGCCATATAACCTGCGCTTCTGATAGTTATAAATTCAATGGTACAAGGAAGTAGAAGAAACATCTATGCAAATACTGTGTGACCAAGTAACAACTCAAAACACAAAATGCACTCACATATGCAACGAGATGTTGGTTCTCTGCTTCCAAATAAACATCTAAAGGAGTAAAAAAAATGTAACCTATTTATTAATTACGTGATCCCAGGGAGCGATTACCTACCTACATTATATTATTTCATGACTGTGTACACAGAGTAATTGTGGAATTATCAGTATTTTGGAAACTATGGAATTAAACTGAATAAAAAATGATGTAGGTACCAACTTTACCGCTCCCAAGAACGTATTTGTATTTAGTATATATCACAAGCACACCTACCTGTTTTATTTTTTCTGTAAAAGTTCAAATATTCCTCGTTAATCAACACAGGTTTACTAACAGGAAAATCTAAACTATTGTCCGAATTTATACTAAGTCTATTATTGGGATCTCGTGATGTTTCATATTCCGACATCTTATTACTCCTTAATTTTTCAAAGGAGTCGTTAACAGTGCTAAACTTTGGAAACTGTGAGCTGTTATCCATACTTTTATACACAGTGTGGCGATTTAAATTTTGAGCGACAGATAAAGGTATGGGAGTAGAATTGCGATTCGAATTATTCGGGAAGCAGTAGGTTTCGTTGCTGTGATCGGAAGTTAGTAATAAACTTAAAGGTGGCCTTTCCTTTGTCCTTTCGACAATAGTTCCAGTTGCGTTTTGAAGTACATTAGTTGTTCTTGCTTTGGGCCAAGTTCCGCCATTTTTCTCTTGAATTGACATTTCTTTGGAATGTCTTTTGTTGCGTTTTGCTGTGTTTGTGTTATCACCATGATAACTATCAATAACTAGATCTAATTCGGCAATGGCTTGCTCTTGCTCAAACGTATTAGCGCTCAGATCTAAGGGATTTGGGGAACTGTTACGATATTTCTTTTTTTCTTCACTTCTGGTGCGATCCTTAGAATGCCGTCGTCCGCGGACCATATCCAATTTCTCCCTTAGCCAAGCTCCGCTATTTTTTTCGTGGCTGCCACTTTTTGACACTCTGTAATCTGCGGTGAGGTAATGACGGTTCACTTCATTTCTCATAAAATCGTGATCGTCCGTTTGTGAACTTCGGTTTTCCTTTTTGTATCTTTGCGCTGGCATGAATACGTTAGTTGTACATTCGGGATCCAGATAACTCGTTTTTAAAGTGGTAATTGTAATTATATCAGTCCTGTTATCATTTAAAATAGACATCCCCTCGTGTAAACTTTCTAACCGATCCATAGATTTATTATTAATCTGGAATGAAAAATTAATTACTACATAATTAGAATAATAATGCACATAATGGCACTGTTCAAAATTAAAGATCGATTACTTAAAAATAGTAATTGCTGCCATTGCTTTGAGCGCCCAACTGCTACATCTGATCACTACAGCATAGACTATTATTATTATTGTTATTATTATGTCTGTGTTTCTTATGAGAACTCAGATCTAGCCTGGTGAACTAATCGCACGGATTAAAACCAAGTAACGCTTAGTGTTTGTGTCTTTACGTCGTTCGTATATATAATAAATAATAATAGCATAGTAGAAGTTAAAATCAGTATCCATTTTTTTAATTTTTCTGTTTGCATAATCAATCGACCTTTACTTTTAAGTCGTGCCTTGCACCATAATAGTAATGTAACTTACACTTAAAACACGATCTCCTACAACTAAGCTATTATCTTTCGCGGCTAAGCTACCTTCGCTGATTTTTCCAATATACACTCCCGACTCCAACATTAAACCGTGACAACCGGCAGCCAGTCGTGCTGTATAGATCCACCTGGCTACACGCGAATTATTTTGGAAACTGGGCGGTGACCTAACAACATTTTGAGTACTTCTAGAGTTTTGAGACAGCCAAGCAGGAGATCGCCTTCTTCGTACAATGATATGTGCGACAGGTAAGCTTGACCTTAGAGTTTCTATAACCATTCTCTTCGAAACGGACGTGCAATCTAAATTATTTACTCGAGCTATACAGTCATTTGGCCTAAAGTAAACTAATCTGAACAACCCCAGATATCATTTTCATTTACTAACCTCAACTTCCCATCAGCTACAGACCCTTTGAGAACGGATGCCACATAAATGCCACTATCGTTAGGATAATGAGGATCTTCTCGACCACCAACCAATTCAATTCCAAGATCGATATCATTTGATAATCCAGACAGATCCATTTCAAGTATTTCAGTCTCCCACTCCTAAACAAATAAGAATCAAACTCAAAATTAAAATCAAGTGACTCACCTGCATATCACTATCAATTGCACTGTCACGAGAATTGTTATGTTCCAATCCATGAAAGTGATTAAACTGAGCCTCTTTTTCCGCGTGAACCTCTAACGCTTCCTTTAGCATTTTCACCTCCTTAACCAATTCGTTCCTTTGTTTTTTTATAGCATCCGATTCTCTGAGAGCCTCGGCTAATTCACTAACGGCACGATCTCTTTCCTTCCGCATATTATCACATAATGTCCTAATACTTTCACGTTCTAATACTATTTTATCACGTTCTGAAAATGCCCAATCTCGCCTACCCTTCGAAACCTCCGCCTCTTGTATCGCCTCGGACAGCTCCGTTTGTACTTTATCCAAATTTTTCCTGAGAGATTCTAATTCTTGATTCGCCTGGTCTAAATTGTCCAACCTCTGACGCTGGCTTAAACTTCGAGAGTCAGCCTGTATTTCTTTTCTTGCCGCATTTTCGCCTACAAATGTGATGTTATCTAATCTACTCTTGAGCGAATCGTGATTGTCGTCTTTTGAGGCGTTATATTCTCCAAATTTTTCTCTCAAATCATTACACTCCTTCAGTGCTTTGTCCCTGTCGTGCAAGGCACTTGCGATTTCACGGCGTAACGTTTCCATTTGATAATTTAATTGTTTCTTCTCTTCTAGAAGCTCTTTATTATCAGCTTCGAGAAGTTTAATCTTTTTAAACGACTGCGCGAGATCGTCACTTAATTTTTCCATTTCCTTATGGACGGTATCACTGCAATTCGGACGATAAAATGCCACTTCACACATATTTATTTTAATGTTTTTATTAATTACCTACCCAAAATCAAATTGATTACACAATATCTTACCGTTCGCTCATGATCAGGTTGTATTCGGCCATGGCAGCATTGCGTTCATCTGTCAATCTTTTAACCTCTTTATTCGCTTTCATTCGAAATGCCATAGTTTGATTTACTTCTTTCACAGCCTCTTCGTATTGTTGTTGTACTTTTTGAAAAGCCTCGCGGTATTTTATACAGTCCCTAGCTGTCTTATCATATTTGCCATGCACTAAAGCTATTTGTTGGCGGACATTTACCACTTCACGCATCTGGTAAAAAATATAACGGATTACAAAAGTACCAGCCAAATTCGGTTTTGCACATTTAAACAAAAGCACGACAAACCTTACCACATTCTGTTAAAATTGCTGAAAAACTCGCCTACAAAGTTGCCCACCCTTAAAATTTCAGAAAAATCCGTCCATGAGCATGAATAAGAAAGTTGGGTCAGTGCATGAGCAATCTTTTTTTAGCACGTGCACATAATAAATAATGGCTTAATTCGGAATAGTGGGGGTACTAGCTAGAGTTGGAACCGAGGTTCGAACACTTTAAAAATCGATTTGCCCGGTTGAACTATGAGGTTACTAATTTTGTTGGTTTTCAATTCATCATAAACTTTAGGCGCATTTAATTAAAATTCTCGACAAGTGGGAGTAACAACTGTATCTGATAACCTCCAATGTTTCCATGGAAATTAAGTGTTGAACAAGTTTAACAGTAAGGTGAAAGAATGAAGAGTCATTCACCCTTTAGAGAAAGGGTGTATTAAGTTCACCATTCACCAATACGTACAGCATTATTCCGTTCTTGATTGACCTCTTCAAACTGCTTGTTAAGGCGGTTACTTTCGTCTTGAGCTAGTTCTAACTTGGTTATGGCCTGAGAATGGGATGCTAAAAGATCATCGTAACGCTTTCTTAAAGCGTCATAGTCGTCGCGCACAACTTCGTTTCTACGTGCCAACATATATAGAGACTCCGAGTTGCTGTTTTCGGATACCAAAACCTACAAATGAATGAACATCAGCATAATTAGCGCACATACAGGGTATCTATAAAAGAACTCCGGGGTTTTAAGACAAAATATTTTAATACAGTAAAAAATGTACATACATGTTTTATACATGATTAGAAAGCTTACATTTTCAAGATTTTTTAACAACTTAGTAAAGTTCAATGTGAGCTCCGTTAGTTAGTTAGTCCAGACGACACTGACTGCCTGCCGCAGCCGTTACGTCATTTCACGGTCAACGCTCCGCAGCGCTGCCAACTGTTGAGAGAAACATTCCCAATTCGTATGAGTAAAACTCTTTGAGCTGCTTGTTTCAAAGGAATTGATCAAATTTTGCTATCTTTTATAGTTTAAAAAATATTAATTTTTTAAACCCCGGAGTTCTTTTATAGACTCCCTGTACTATGTCAATGTTGCGATTGTTATTACAGTTCTTGATAGATATTAGAAAGAGTTCTGACAAGTACCGAGTACCTTTAAAGGATAATGCGACATTTTATACAAAACTTTAAAATATGTAGGTACCATCAAAAATACCAAATACGTCCCCAACGACAAAAGTTACGAAAAAGTCTGAAATCTGATACGCCATTACAGAAACTCACAATTTGTCTGAAAAATTGGGTTGGTTAGTGATTGTAGGGCTTCGGTGTTCAATGATCGAGGAGTTGTGTAACGTCAGAAGATGGCTTGAATTATTCCTTATATCAATTTGATGATGACAGCTCCAAGTGAGCATCCACACTAAGAGCAGCATCTTGTGTTTGAGCCGCTTAAGGCGACCTGTAATGGTGGATGACTAGGCTCCTTAAAGTGGCGAAAATACCCTGGTTTGGTCAGAATTTGAAACGGAAGGTCGAGACCAGCCGATCTCGATCAATTGGCTGTGTGGTTAGGTCAGACTGACGACTGGGTGAGCTTCCTGAAGTTTGTGGTAACACACTGACTAGCGGAAGGTAGGGGCCGTTCAAGCACCTTCAGGAGTTATATCCTTTTAGTAGCCCTGGCGACATTACAGAAGTCCCCTCCTGAGGCTCCGTGGTGGCTAGAAGGCTAAGGGGGCAAATAAAAATGTAAACGCACTTCTGGTCCTGAACAGAAGAGGAGAAGAAAATGTGCAGGCATACCAGCATCATATGTGGACATCAAGAAGGCGAGGTCAGACAACTCAACTCTTGTTCAACCTCAAAACACGAAAGGGCTATAACACCCCCAACCAACAGCGGGTCCACCCAGCAAACATAGTTAAAAAAGAAACTGTCGTAAGGCAACTCACAGCTAACCTTGGATAAAAAAATAACTGGATTGCTAGCAAAATCACATTTATGAAGCCAACATCTACAAGTTAATACAGTGGCTCAAAAAACAGCTAAAAATATATATATTTTAAAAGTGTTGCAACATGAGGTATCTAGTAAGGTACTGCAATCTGTTTATTTTGCTATCTGTCATTCTGTAATGTCTCATTCTGTACTTGCATGGGGTCACGCAGCAGATAGTCATAGGGTATTTAGTCTACAGAGAAGAGCGGTAAGAATTCTAGGTCATGTCGGATACAGAGATAACTGTAGAGATTTGTTTAAAAAATTCGAAATCCTTACTTCTCCGTCACTATATATTTTAGAATGCGTTCTATATGTACATACAAGGAAAGACCAGTACTTACAACATAGAGATCTACACTCTCATGACACCCGATCAAAAAATAAGTTGTACACAAACCAATACCGACTAACAAGAACCCTAAACAGTCATTGTCGGCAATCTATTAATTATTATAATCATCTTCCCGACAAAATAACAACTCTGAAGTATGATAACTTCAAACGTGCAGTAAAGAAGTGGCTAATCGGAAAAGCATTCATGATCAAGAAAACATGTGCATGTGCAGGGTGTTTCATTTTCGACACCATTCTAGGGTAATTGTTAGTCTCGTTGTTAGTACTATTCTAAAAGTAATAATAATAATAATGCTCTTTATTTTGCAAACAATGCTAACATTACACTGTATAGCAAAAGGTGTCAAAGAAAATAACATAAGTTCTGTTTGGATCAAACTTAAAATGGTAAAATCAAAATTTGAAAATATTCGCTCGTTTAAGAGATACAAACAGAAATTAAAAAAATGTCAATGTCGATATGCCTCTATTTTCTTAGTTAAGAGAGATACAAAAAAATGTTTATGACAAAAATTTTTTATAATGATTGTTTAATAATCTGTCGTGTTCAAAATAAGTATAAGGGGTCAGGGAAAAAATTATTGGACCACATTTCTCACACCCTACATATTTTAATCTAAAAAGAATATTAAATTATCTTTTCAAAAAAATAACACCACAGAGATGATATTCAAAAAAGAATAAAGATTTTAAAAAATGTAAAACAAAGAAAAAATCCTATAATCCAATCGGCCCCAATTGTGAATCGAAACCATCCGAGGACACTCAAGACACATAAAAAAAATTGCAGTTCGGTCATAGGGAAGAATTTTATACAAGTACCTAAAGAAGTAAGAAAATAAGTGTTTTCAGTAGCTCTTTTTCCTTGTAAGCAATGAAGACCCTAGCGCTCTTCTCGGTTGTTAGAAAGCTGCTTTTATTTGAATTTGAATGTAACAACTTAAATAAGTTTTGCTCAGTGAAAGATATCGACTTGTTTCACGATCCCCGAAATGTAATAGTTAATCAAATTATGTCCAGAGCCCCAGTGCCATGAAATTGGAATTTTCTTATTATGTATGGTGTGTGGTTAAACAAATAAATAAATAAAAAAACCACAAGGCAAAATGGAACTTGATTATGCCCCGCCACACTAGAGAATCCATCACAGAACCATCTCGTCATTTGGCGTTGGGCGTAACCATGGAGACGGTACAAAGGGTTAACCCGAAATTCAGAGTCCAAAGCACCTTTTTCTGCTAAATAGGGCATTGAGTTAATTGTCGGACCTCTTTTCTAAAATTCCAAAAGTCCATATAGGACAAACTCTAATTATAATTTCAAAGTTTGTACCTAACTTCACTTCGAAAGCAAATGCCTACCTCTTGCTGTCGATGTAACTCTGATAGTTCAGTCCGTAATGACTGAATATCCTGCTCTAATCTTTGATTTTCACTAAGTACGTCACCATACTTAGTACGTAAAGTGGCAGAATCTTGCGAAGATACTTCCAATTGATTCATTGCTGCTCGATGTTGATTCCTAAAGTACTCCAATTCCTAGAAGAGAGACGTAAGAATTATAAACAAGCACGCTAAACCGTACCTTCAACGCGTGATCACATCTCCGCCGCAACGTGGTAAGCTCATTACTAGCCTTATCGTATTGCTGTTTAAGCGTTTCATAATCACGAGGAGATCCCGGATTTAAAGAATAGTTTCGGGTCAACGTACCTGCAAATTGGTTAAAACATATTTTACTTAAACGAAGAGTACGAAACTCACCATTGCTACCAGAAGAATCTGCATTTGAAGCCATAGCTTATGTTAAACGCCATAAAAATACTAATTAGAAATTCACTAATTAGAAAGTTTCATTATTGCTGAACTTAAGAAGCTACAACTTCCTCAATTAAAAACGTTCCAGTTTGTTAATTATTAATTATTTCTGCCGTTGTGGAGGTATTAAACGAGCCGAAGGTTATACAATTTCCCAATTTTTTCAATAAATCCTTGCCAACAATGACGAAAAATGAGGGCATAAGAAGTTGTAATGCATTTTACAGCCTTTCTTTTGAACTGTCACTCGCTCTTGATTTACCTACTTAACCTTTTACTTACATTTTTGATACAATTCTGGAATTTCAACTGAAATCTGTTTACATAATAAAAAGTTCAAACTTACAAAATAAACCGGACGTGTTTGGTGTTAGATTTTACATTTTTTTACAACCTACACTACACGATTGCCAAACGAACGAAAATTTGTTATTCGTGATCGTGGATTATAGTGACGTAACTTGTATTTTCTCTGATTTGAAATTGTAGCCCCACAGAATTGTTGGTTAATTAATCCTGTGGTAGCCGTGATCGTAACCAGGTATGGAAACTACTACATAAAATGTATTCGAGTACCTATAACGTCAATATGATTTCATTATATTTCCTATTTTTAAATTAAATTATACTGCAGGTATAATAAAAAATACTATAAGATACACGTATATACAGGGTGTCCCTAAAAGGTCTGTACAACGCGCTACCAGGGGTTCTTGGTATCAAAATAGGACGATTTAACCCAACTTACCTCTATCCAAAAGTGCTTCGGTAAGGCGCTATCTACCGCCAAAGATTTTAAAAAAAAATCGTTATTTTTATTTTATCGGAAAATGGTTTTGCCGATTAAAATGAAATTCGGGATGTGAATGTCTAATGTAAAAAGGGTCTTTGTGATATCGACGTTTTGATTGTAGTTGCTATGTAGGTGGTAAAATACTGACCATCCACATCTGAAGAGGTCTAAAACTTTTTAACTACTATTTTGACGGTTCTGAATTTTTAGACACTGATAGACAGTTTACTTGCAAGCATTTTTTGTCTCTTGATGAATGTCGCTATCTGTGATGGTTTACGAAAAAAAAAAAATTTAGGCATGATGAATGGCATGCACCATACATGCGATTGTTCCTCAAAAAATCAGTTTTATTTTTTATTTATTTATTTAGTAGTTTAAATTAATACATTACATTGACTTACTCTGTTGTGTTCGTTTATTATACGTTACATGCACTACGGTTTCATAGCCTACTTCTTGCTTGCACTTATGGTTTTTGAGGAACAATCGCATGTATGGTGCATGCCATTCATCATGCCTAAATTTTTTTTTTTCGTAAACCATCACAGATAGCGATATTCATCAAGAGACAAAAAATGCTTGCAAGTAAACTGTCTATCAGTGTCTAAAAATTCAGAACCGTCAAAATAGTAGTTAAAAAGTTTTAGACCTCTTCAGATGTGGATGGTCAGTATTTTACCACCTACATAGCAACTACAATCAAAACGATGATATCACAAAGACCCTTTTTACATTAGACATTCACATCCCGAATTTCATTTTAATCGGCAAAACCATTTTCCGATGTGTAGGGCTTCAGTTTGTCCACTGAGACAACACCCTCGTATGGCTTCTGGGATCGGGTTGCTCCAGGCAGATCTCTTATAACGTATCGATCAACGTCTAGGACTTTAGCGATTTCGTATGGCCCGCTATACTTTTGCAGGAGCTTTTTACTTTTGCCGTCGTTTGCGGCAACGTTTTTGCGTACCAATACGTGTTGGCCAACCTGATAATTTGGGGCTGGTTTTCGTTTCTGATCGTATCGTAACTTTTGTTGAGTTTGCTGTACGCGAACGAACTCGTTCGCTCACTCGTTTTCGTATTGCGGGGAGATCTTCATCCCGATGTTCGTGCCAAACCTCGGCACTCAAAAAGGCGTCGTTCGCCTGCCGAGGTTGGTAACCTAGCAGCAACTCGTATGGGGTTTTGCCCGTCGTCTTATTTATAGTGGTATTTATGCCCCATTGTATTTGACTGACACTATCATCCCACTTAGTTTCATCATCTGTCGAAGTGGATAAGGAACTCAAGATTGTTCGATTATACCTCTCCGCTTGGCCGTTGGCTCGTGGAGTCGCCGTTGCATTGTACTTTTATTCCCATCGATTTGCAATATTCGTCAAAGCGTTTACTAGTAAAAGCACTTCCCCGGTCGCATACAATGCGTAAAACAACACCAAACATGTTAAAGATATCGTTCAAGAAAGTAATAACTGGATTTACAGACGTATTTCGTACCGCTTTCAGAAATGCAAATTTCGTAAAACCATCAATACCCGTAATTAGGTACTGATTTTTCTTTCGACTGGTGACAAATGGCCCGAGGTGGTCTATGTGTAGCGTATGCATCGGAACATCGAACTTTGGGATTGGATACAAAAATCCTGGTCGTTTTCCAGTGGGTTCCTTATTATACATACATGACAAACAACAGGCCACGTATCGTTTTACGTATTATTTCATATCCGGGAACCAGTATTTTCGCCTCAATATTGCACACGTCTTCTCAGCGCCGAAGTGTCCGACGTTGTCGTGATGGTAAAACACGATTTGACTTCGCGCTGTTTTCGGAACTACCCATCGTTCGTCATGTACACGTTTCTCTTCGTCATCGATTGGTTCTTTCGTCAACGTGGAGTGCAATCGTTTACAAAAGTCATCATTTAATTGGGCAGCAAGTACCCAGTCGTCTTCGTTTACGTTTAGATGCAGTAAGTGCGCATCGTTATCGAAATCGATCCCTTCCCCTGGTAAGCTGTTCCTGCTCAGCGCATCTACATGAGCCATCTTTATGCCTGGCCTGTACTCAACATAAAAATCGTATTCTTGAGTGAGTAACCACCAACGCCCAATTCTAGGTATAAGGTCTCGTTTAGTCATGGTCGCACGTATAGCGTTACAGTCTGTTTTTACTGTGAAACGTTTTCCTAGTAGATAGATTCGGAATCGTCTCATCGATTCTACTACTGCGAGGGTTTCCAACTCAAACGAGTGGTAGCCCTGTTCAGCTTTACTCGTTTGTCTACTGTAGTAACATACAGGCTTTAACGTTTGGTCTGACTGCCACTGCAACAGTATACCACCGACTCCAAATTTTGAGGCATCTGCGTGCAATTCACTGGGAGCATCCTTGTTGTATAGAGCTAGTACCGTACGTTCTAGCAACTTCCGTTTTAAGGCTTCGTACGCTTCTTCTTGATTTTGGCCCCACGTGAATGGCGTATTGGCTTTCGTAAGGGTGGTAAGCGGCTTGGCTATCGTGGCAAATCCTTTAATAAACTTAAGAAAATATGAAGTTCACCCTAGGAATTGACGTATCTCATGGACGTTAGTTGGTTTCGGATACTTTTCCACTGCCTCGATCTTCGCAATACCCGGTCGTATGCCATGCGGACTAATCTCGTGCCCAAGGTATTCAAGTTTTTCGTGGAAGAACTGACATTTAGACAAACGAAACGTCATCCCTGCATCCCGAAACAACGTAAAAACCTCTCGTAGTGACCCTAATCCTGTCTCAAAGGATGAAGAAGGCAACAGAATATCGTCTAAATAAGCCATTGCAGTTGTAAACCTAAGTTTACCGAGAATCGAGTTAATGGCGCGTAGAAACACGGCCGGAGCGTTTACTAAACCAAAAGGCATTCGAAGGTACTCGTAGTGTCCGTCGGGTGTTACGAAAGCAGTTTTTGCAACCGAGTCATTTCCATGCATTCGTTCTAAATCATCGTCAACAAGAGGCAAGGGATATTTATCTCTTATCGTTTTTAAGTTGAGGGCCCTATAGTCCACGCACATTCTGTATTCACCGGTTTTCTTCTTCACAAGGAGAATAGGACTAGCATATGGAGACTGTGATTCTTGTACGATCCCATTAGCGATTAAATCTTGCACAATTCCTCTTACAGACTCCCGCTCTGGATACGCCAGACGATAAGGGCGATACGTTACCGGCACGTCATCGTTTAAACGTATTTGCATTTCAGTTACAGTGGTTTTACCCAGTTCAGTTGTATTTCCAGCAAAGCAATTTCGGAATTCGTTTATTAGATTTAATACTAGAATACATTCGCTTTCATTCAAATTAGAACCTAACCGCCCCTTGATATCGTTTAACTGAAAAGACGGCAAGGTGCTTGCATTAATAACCAAATTGCTCACCTCGTTTTGGGAGATTTCGTTTTCACATGGCGTCCCACGTGCAATAAGTTGATGTTGCCGAAACGTCAAATGGTTGGTGCTTATATTCTGGATAGCGATCACACCCCCTATGGTGGTCACACAACCTGGAATATTATACTCGCCCCCAGATTTTTGTCTGGTTGTAGCTTCTACATAGACTTCGCCTTCGTGGTGTTCTTGGTTGGCGATTTCGATTAAGTCGATCGTATTTGGGGGGATTACCGCGGCGTTTTTCGACCATAAGGGCAGCTTTCGTGGTGGCAGACTGGCTACGTCAGGTAAGGCCGCCAAGTGATTTTCAAAAAGTCGAGTTTGGTGATCGCGTAACAGTAATGTTACATCGGTCCGATTCAAGAAAGTTTGCCCGACTATAACTGGTACTTGTTGCATGCTATCAACCACCACATATGCGACGACTTCCGCTGACACAAGATCAACTGCAGTTAAAGTGACTGTAGTTTCCCCTAATAGAGCTTGTGTTACTCCTCCTGCGTATCCTTTGATGCACTTTGTAGTTGCCAGTTGGTTGTAATTTCAGTTGCAATCCCATTGCGTCCTTATGTCTGATGGTGACGATACTGCAACCCGTATCAACGTAAGCCCTGATGGGATTACCATTTACGTGCTAATCCAGATAGGCGATTTTGCATTAATTGGATTGTAGTATTCTCATCCCAGCGATTTACCAAAGATAACTGGTCAATCTTATTAACCCATTTTGCCACCGATTGATTTGGTTTACCCGGCATAAATTCCGGTATACAGTCTCCCTTAACTGCCATCCGCACAAAGGGCTGGGCGTTGGCACCTGCATTAATGGGTTGTTCGCGACTTAATATTTGGTTAACCATTGCTTCGAAATTTCTAATTCGCGCATCTTTAGGATCCTCGTTTCGATTTTTACAATTGCAGTTATGAGTATCGCGTGAGTCATGACACCGATGACGCAGTGACCTTGATCTAACGCGACGCAATTCGGAAACCTCCCGTTTTCTACGCCTACTTCGATCTTCGGATGGTTTTCGATCGCTTCGATGTCGGCTATTCATCGTATTTAAATAATATGCGTTTATGTAATGTATCGAAATTAATTGATACCGTAATGCTGGGCGAAGTACAGGCGTTACCTCGCACGTTTATGGAGACCCGTATTAAGCCACAAAAAAAGCTCGTTTCGTAACGATAAATGTTAGCGTAAAATTGGTAACGTGTACTTACAAATCGGCAGAATACTCGTCCTTACCAAGGTCCTGGTAAGAATCGCATGATAGGGCACAATCCCTTGGTTGCAACTTTACACGTAAAATACTCGTTTCGGATTCTAGGCACAGAGCCGATCTCGCCGCTGCGTTGTAAAACACACGAGTTCCCAATAACCATTTATTATTCAATAATTAATTAACTAATGCGTATAATACTCTGAAAGTAAAAATTTAACTGAACAGAGATGCAAGGAGTGCCACCGCAAGTCGGATACTGCCGATCACCGCGCCGTCCGAGTGCCCGTCGAGATTCCCCGCTCTCCCTAACCGCGCAGCGCTTACAATATGCTCCAAAACAAAGGAAAAGAACCCATTTTCCATATAAAGTTTGCTTTTGTGGTAAGTATTAGCAAAGAGTATTTCGTTATATACTCTTTGGTACATATTATAGTTAGGTATAATAATTCATTTTTTTAGTTACCTATCATATCGAGATATCAAATAGTTCTGGAGTATTTCAAAACACTGCAAGAAAATAAAGGGGTCTTACCTTTCACAGTGTCTACATCAGATATCACTAAAGTGATAAACAACAATTGAATATTTTCTAGAAGACTCATAAAGAGGTTAAAATGTTGCCAAGAAAGTGTAAATATGATGCTGATGCCTTTTGTTATACACCTGTGGTACCTATATATGCTGTATTTATTACAGTATGAGAGACCGAATGCCTGTAAAAAGCTTTGTGAAGCATACGAAACCTATTTTAACTACCCCGTTCGGAATCTATAGACACCTCGCCTGGGCTTCACATGCTGCTTGTAGTAACTACAAAAGATTTTTAGAAGGTAAACGATTTTTATTATTTATTATATGAGCGCGTACTCAGAAAAACGAGGAGAACAGTCTTATCAAGATATGAACCTTGAACAACATTACCAGGGTAAATACAACGGAAGTGTGATGGGGGACTTTTGAGATTTAGTGAGAGAAAGTACTTATGAACACGGAAAAAAGAGTAATAGGATTCACTATATTAAATTTTTTACTATTTTTAATTTTATATGATTACTATAAGCACAGATATACGTTCTTTACGTATAAGTTAATAAAAGTTACATTTATTTCAATTTATCAATATAAATGCAAATTTCAATTCTGGATTTTCTAAAATACTGGTCAACGGCTCTCCTGGATACAAAAGCAACCCTTTTCAGGCCCTATATATTTTTTTCGTCTAATAACTATCAATAAATTTATCAAAATTCCATATACTCTCATCAAAGTCAAAAATCGTGTTGGTCTGTGTTATCAATGTCAATCTGTCAGATGATAACAGGAGTCATATAGACATTTAGCAATATGACAGGCATAATCGGTAAAGTGAAAGCTAATTATAGTCTGGTTGGCCTCTGTCATGCAAACTAAAATTTCCTGACATAAAGTAGGCATGGGAATGAGGTTTCATGAAGATGTGGTTTGTCTATGGGCAGATTGTAGATGAGTGTACTTTCTAGGACTAAGTGATTTAGTTCCCTTCCCATTCGAAATCAATAAATGATATCCCTTATCTATCTAAAAGGGGAAGAGAAACGGCCCCACAGGTCAAATTGTTAGCGTTTCACGAAATGACTAGGCAGTTTATAAAAAGACAATGTAGGTAATTATGTACTCTTCAGTTTTCAATAAACATTCATAGCATTCAAGCTTTTGTGGAAGTTTTCTTTCTTTTCCATTTTTCAATACGAGGCACAAATACAAACAAACTTTAATTAAATGACTAAAATAAATTCAGTCACTTACTAAATGACTTAAAATAAATTTAGACCTTTACTAAATGCCTGAAAAGCGACCGGCAGATTTTAAAATACGAGCACTAACGCTTTCATTTTACTATATTCCCCCGTTTTATAAAATGACGAATTATACAAAATTCCTACGACATAGGTACCTATACTTAATTTAAACGGGGAACACCTCTCCCCTCTAGATGAAGGGTTGCTAAGTACTAGGCACCCAAGTAAACCGTGACGTGACTTACATTATACTATTTTTGTCTATACTATAATAACTTTGACAAGTTCTCATACTAGATGGAATTGTAAAAACTTGAGAATATAAAACCATGTAACATGGTACCATGGTACAATAAGGTAAATAACCTATCCAAGTTTGAAAACTAGATTCGTCTAGATTCAATTTTGAAACTAGATCCTGTCCAATTTTCCACCCAAGTTTTATACTATTTTTGTCTTCAAACATGCGCGAAGGGTCGCCGTCGTCAAAAAAATTGTAAATACTAAGGACCTGTTGCTTATTTCATTAAAATACTGTTGTAAGTGGATTGTACGAACATAAACAGCTCACCGTCTCAGAGAAAGTAGGCGACACTAGTGCCGTCTAGTAAAGACTTTTTGTCGCCCAGTAGTGTGTAAGGATACCTTTGGCAAAAACTTTCAGTTATCTTTCAAAAGCAAATTGGTGGTCTGCCCGAGAGGTGTCCTAGTGCGGCGACTGGGGCCCCCAAAAATTTTTAACTGGAGTGGAGTCCCCAGTATGGCACACCGATGCTGGGTTCACGTGCCGCCTTGTGGAAGTTATTTAAAATATGCTCTGCACCGTATTCAAGCAAAAGTTCATTATTAACAAAAGAAAAGGCTCCCAAACTTAATCTGTCTCGTAACAACCACTCCCTGCTCCATAGCCGCTTCTTTTATATGTAACAATTAATTCATAAATACCAAATACTCTTTGTAACTTTCTTAATTTTTCCTTAGGAGCATTCATAATTTTATCCTTTTTACTATTGATGAAGTCATGAACTGATGAATTGAAGACAAAAAGTTAAAGTTATGGTTATACCAAAGAACAAAAACTTTTTGCATTGTCACAGAATAAAAGGAACAGGTGATCTAGCCAGTTTATAGACAAATCTACTTTACACCCTGTTATAGAAACTTGACCTGACAGAATCAGTGTGAAAATAGTATATAATAGTTCGAGGCTTAACTGCCGGTTAAGAATTGTCTCGGAGGTTTGGCAATGTATCCTGATTAGCTCTAAGCTTACCTAGTGGATAGTTGGTATTAATAAAAGCTATTCTAAGTTGATCATATGACTACAACTAGTAGTCCGCTGAGGTTTGTGAGCCTTCATGTACAGTTTATTTCAGAAAGGCCATCCTGGAATTTTCTTCTTTCTTTTTTGTTCGGCGCTAGACATAAATAGAGGCATATACCTTAGGTATTATATTTAAATAGAGGCGTGCCTAGCCGCTCCCTGTGTTTACAAAAAAATGTAATCTTCGTCCTAGGAAAAGATTCCTATTACCTTTCTAACAGCCACAGAGCTCGCAAATGGAAAGGGCCGGCATCAAGACTATTAGGAGAAACAAAGCAGAGGTTTTTTCTGCCATCAGCTTTTAAAATGTCCTTGTCGAAAGAAACATTTGATTTACCTGCTGTGGGTTATAATGGACCGGCCTACAAGCCACATCATAGAAATAGGGATAGTTTTCTTTGCATTTGTGTGTAGGTATAGGTACCTACTATGTTTTTTGGTATGTTTGCTGGTGGCAAATAGTAATATGTTCTGTAAGGCAGTTGGTGGTGATTTATATGGCCCATGTGGGCTGCGACTTGAACCATACCTCTTTGGTGGTTTTAATTTTATTTGTTTCCAAAGCGAGACACACTTTTATCACATTAAGTAATGTATTATTTTTTATTAGTTTTACAACTTTGAAAAATTACAACAATTAGTTTAACGAAATGGATATCGAGAAAATAAAAATAGTTACAACAGGTTAATCGTACTTCTCTTTAAATTTATCCAATCTTCTCTGCACGAAGGGTAATTTGAAGAAGTAAAGCGAAGCTACTGCACCTAAAGTAGCCCCTAACCAGTAAACAATCATGTGCTCTTGAAAAGTGTTTCCTTTGCAGCCAAACTTCAAAGAGGTCGCCAATGCGGGATTGAAATATCCACCGGAAAAATTGAAAGCTGAAATTGAAAATGAAATGAAAATTTTAGTTTAATTGATAAGATACGCACCGGCCAACACCAACAAAGTAGCGAAGAAAGCGTCGAGCACGTGAGCACACCTTAAGCTTGTTTCACCTAAAATTCTTGAAACTAGTCTGCATAGAAATGTTGCGATTCCCTCAATGGCCGCACCATATTCAAAAGGTACCTAAAATTTACTTCATGTAAATTGTAGCAAATATGTAAATGAACATAATAGAACGAAAAATGTTTGAATCTATTTAAAATATATTATCTGCGACCGATATAGGTACATTAACCCCTTTATTATCGTTATCAATTTATTTATTGAGTATCGATATAGTAGGTGCAGGAGTTTTTCAATTGCACATGTCTTGATAAGCGATGTTCGGGACCAAAATTGCAAGTATGACTATAGTAACATATTTGAGCAGCTTCTATAGGTAAAAGCTTTGTTTATTCACGAATAAACAATGGTAGAAGAGAAAAGACGATACTTGACAATCTTCATCACTATTAAATATTTCTTTAATTATTTATTTGTTTCCTCAAAATTTCCATAAAATTACAACCAAAAAAGAAGTACAAAATAAGCATTATTATAATAAAATATTAATATAATACTTTAGTATAGTATTTACTATTTTAATTACATATAAAATAAATTTAAACAAAAACTGTAATGGAAAAAAAGTTGTGGTTAAGTGTCTCATTTGATTAAATTTTTTCCCATTTTGTTATAAAGGTAAAAATGTAAGAAAATTACCCGACATTTGTTATTTGTACATACAGATTGTTTTTCCAGATTTAGCGTAGAGTTGTTAAGCGAGACGCTTTTGCTTTCTCCAAATCGTCAGATCCGCGCTCGCTCGCTCGATGGCGTCACGTCCATCGATTTAAAAAAGAACCGATGGACCGATTACGATGAAATTTTGCAGGTGGCTTCTTTATCAAATTTGAAGGTTGGAGTTTGTGAATTGGCAATTTAGGTCAAAACATCCCTTTTGACATCTCCGTTAGTTATGAACCGAATGGCATGAAATTCAAACTAGGCATAATTTTAGCTATATAATACGCAATGACAAAAGTTGAGCCTAATCGATTCAATATTTAGAGTGCCTTTTAAGTGCATTTTTGGAAATTTGTTTGTAAAAACTTCGCACGCAATTTGCGGGTGAACGGGACTTCGGAAATGGGTATCGACAAAGGGAATATGGTAGCCCCGACAAGACCTCACCGATGGTGGAGTCAACGCTGGTTAATAGAATACTGATCTAGCACGAGCACCCAACGCAACTTTTTGTTTCGCCACGTTGCGATGGATTTCGTTGCGCAAAAGATGCAGTGATGCCCGTGGTCGCTAACTCAGTGGTCCATCAATCGTGTAATCCCTTAAAGTATCTGGCTTAAATACGAGTTAGACCGGATGCAGCTCTTTAAAAGTTTTGTTGAATTAATTTGGCCCGTGCTTTAAACAGTAAATCAACGTATCATCTGATAGGAATAAAGAGTGGAGTGCATCTCATTTTTGTCATAGGTGCACTTACCGCTAAATCTGCGACACATTCTTGTCCTAATAATCCTATGTGGGTTTCCGCAAGTTGAATTTTCCATATACTTTGAACGTAGCTGTACACAGCAAGTCCTCCCAACACTTGAGATGCAATTAATATCAAAGTAGTGCTGAGAGTTTTGTAGCCATCTAAAAATTCTTCTACTAGAGAATATGGACACGCGGTTGCATCTTCCCATACAGATGACCACCATAGTGTCAACAAAAAAAGAAAAAACCCATAGGTTAACACTCCATAATTATCTGCAACTATTTCTTACTTAGAATCCGATAAAAATGCTAGATAAAACTTACCAACAATCAGTTCAAAACAGCAAGCACACAGTTCTGCTGTTGCCAAAAATTCCAAAATAATTTCCTTGGCTATTGTCTCTTTTAAGATGACGTTTAATAATTTTCGTATTAAATCCGCTAATATAATTGTTGCGGTTATCACAGCTGCGGAGATTATCAGTGGGTGAAGACCATAAATGTTCTTTTTCCCACTGTAAACGTAAGTTGCAAATTTTGCGTCACTACACCATCCTACCTGTATCTAACCACCCCGATCGTTTGCAGTAAATGGTAAAGTTGCGTAGACGCTTTCATTTTTGTCTCATTAGATTGCCGTACTAATACACTAAGTTGAATTACATTGCTACTACAAATATACGAGGGTTCTCTATTTTTAGTCTGCGTGCTTATTATACTAGCTACTATGAATAAGCTATTTTTACATCCGCATGTGATATATATAGTAATTATAGCGTTAGTTATGGTGCTCGCCAAACTTTGCAATTTTGTAATAAACTACCAGTTCCGAAAGAAACGCACAGACTGCGAATAAGTATCCATAAGATAAAAGTAAAAAAGCTCCTTGTAAATGAAATACTGTCAGCACGGTGTCGTCCGTTTCTTCGGAGTCGTGGCGTGAGCGCTGCTCGTACTTTTTGGCCCACTTCCTCACGATTCCACCATTCATCAGTTTCCATATAACTTTATCGAATGTGATACCCAGTGGAAAGCCTCTTGGTACTATCATACGTACTGGATAGGTGAAAACCAGTTGTTTCAACATCACTATTTTTTCATCCCCCCACTTATTGAAGAATACTGAGCCTTTGTCTCCTATCATGTACTTCACATAAAAATGGCTCGATATGGTGCACGTATCGCGATCATTTGCAACTGTTAAAAGCCAGTTCAAGGCGGTATCGTTTGTTTCGTTATATGTTTCAAACCTGTCGTGGATATACGTAGAAACTTTATCATCGCTCCTGTTGAAGAATTCCTTGTACCTTCGAACTCCACCAATTCCAATTTTGGAATCGATTATGTCTTGCAGGGATGAAAGTTCCTTTTCGTACACAGGGTTTAGCAGATGGCTCATGAGCAACGCCTGATACATTACCGTGATCAATATGCCATAAATCGCAATGGAAATGAATACCGATCGAGTAACGTACGACTTTGGTTGCTTGGGTACGGCAACCGCTAGTATTATCTCCAAACAAAAGAGGAAATTCGTACTTAAATGCTGGTAGCACAAAACTTCTTCAACAAATCTTGACGTGGCATACAAAAGAACTGAGGCTACAATGTAAAAGCAGGCGCATACAAGCCACAATTCATAAGTGAAGATAACAAAGATGTTTTGCCATCTCGGAATTGGATGGGCCGTTGGTACTACCCATGCCATACGCTCTCGAAAGTACTCGATTGACAGGTCAAAGTCCGCGTCGTAGTTTGGATGAGGAAGAATGTTGCCAACGGCGATCGCCGATTCTTTGTAGACTGTTGCTAAAGGCCCAGACCAATTATTGTGTCCTAGACGAATGCCCCAATCGACAGCGGTATTTATCATTTTGATGTTAAACCGAATGTCCAAGATTTTGCCGATTTCTTTTAGAATGTTAATCTCGAAGCCTCGCGATTCGTCGACCACAAACGGAGGGTATTTCATTGCAATTGTTGGCACTGAACAGTTACCATACGTTTTGGGTAACTTATTCCCAAAGAGAGTGTTATTATTTGCCACTTCTCCATTAATGCACGTATCCAGCTCGACCAGTTGGGGATTTTTGCCACATACCAGAGCAGGTGCGTATACATTTAAACCATATATGGTACACACCCTCAGGCTATCCCGAGGTACCACCACAGCCGAATTGAATACATTGTGCCTCCACAAGAATTTCAATATGCTCTCCGCCATCTTGGCGTATTCGAACCTTATGTCCGAAACGTACACCAGAAAATATGTGTGATAGTTGTGCGAATTGGAATCCAAAAAGTATCTAAAAACCGTTTCAAACTGCTTGTGAGTATCAACCACGACGACGCAATAAGTCGCTTTGTACAGCAGCTGAAACTGCCTCGTTATGATAGGTAATGCTCCTTTTTTCAGTGGGCAATTGGCACAAACTTCCGTAGAATTAAACTCCAACCGCGCACCACTTATGATTTCGATCATCCACCGTACTCTGGAATTAATCTCTCGTATAATCCGATCTTGTATTCCATAGGCTTTAGTTGACAGATTACGGGTTGTTAAAATTGTTAACAGCGTGTTTGATTCTACAAATTGATTTTCTATTACCTGCATGATGCAACTGCTCGAATATGCTCTATGCACGGGTCCGTTTGGATTTAATACGGAGCAAAACAGCAGCGTAAATTTCGACAACATAATTAAGATGCACAGAAGCATAGCAAATATAGTAAAATACAACTAAGTATCTATTATAACTTATAAGTATGTAGAGCATGCCGCATTAGCTATATATAGCGTGTTAGCATCGCTGTTCAGATTTGATAAAGACTAACACGGTTATTCGCTTAATTTAATACCTGATAAGATTGGTAGATCAGATTTTTTTTCATTTTTTCGTGATTTAGTACGCAAGGTGGTGCATTGAAACCTCGATTGAATAAACCGAATATTCTCGGGAGAAATCTCGGGCAAAGCAATTTTAAATTCGACCCCGATATTTACACTATACTGTGTATATTTTGTCAGATACTGGACAAATGTCCAACAGCAACACCAAGTGTATAGGTAGGTACGTACCTATCAAATTATTAGGTCTAGAGATGGCACATGAGGTTTATTGTAAAAGACATCGCTGTTGCATAATTTATTTATTTATTTTAGTTAGTAGTCTTAACCTACTACACACTGTCCCATTACCGGCCACATCTGTGACATTGCTAAGATGTCTATAATGACTCCTGTCATCACTGACAGATTGACATTAATCAAAAGTTCTATATAAAAATTGAAATTTTATATTAAAATTCGATTTCTGGTAAAATTTAATACAAAACTCGTCAGTAAGATGACATTACCTGATTCGGAAATTAAAGTAGGTACTCTGCCCCAAATGGAGGCGGGGGGTGCCGCTACAATTTCAAATCAGAAAGATAGGTACATGAAGGAAATGTAAAGATTATACGAAGGCGTAGAAGGGCCACACAAAAAAACAAATTTTATGCTTTGATTGTTGCAATTTCATCCAACAAATTGTAGATTCAATTTACAATTGTAGATTACGATCTACAACTGTAGATTCCGATTTACAATTGGAGATTTCGATCTGCATTTGTGTATTAAATTAAACATTGTAGGTACATACATACCTTAATTGTTTATTTAATGTATTTTACTAAGATTTCGGTTACATAGCTTGAATCCACAATTTTGTAATTACTTATTTGTAAACAGCGATCGTTTTACCTCTTAAAAAATAACAACCAACCAACGACAGCTTCATATTTGAAGAACCTAAATCCAAATTTTTATGCAAATCGAAGATATTTAACCAGTTGCCAGTTGCGAGTTGCTAAAGAACACTTGGAAGATTTTTTAAAATTAGGTATATATAAGATAGGTATAACTATTCAAGAAAGGAGGTGACTTTTAAGGGGGAAACTATTTAATAAAATCATAACGTCCCTTCAAAATAATTTGACGGTCATTTATAGTTATATTTATAGATGATTTCAATCAATTGCACGCTCGAATCTACAATTATCTTACTATGAAATTCTTTCTGCAAATTATAATTTACGAGGAGGCTGGGAAAGGGCACTTCAATGATTGTTTGCAAAATGCAAGTACGTACGGCCCTGATCTGTCGATCCGTGCGCACGCGCATTCAACTGTTATTTGAGAAGAACCTAACCATATTAATTTGAATATTTTCAGAAAAAATGTATTACTATTTTTATTTGATCCCAAAATTAATGATTTATAATCCGTAGGTTTCATTCTCGCGCAATTAACAACAAGTCTTCGTACAACTACGCAGTCGCTAATAGTAATGGAATCCACAGCCCGAATCCTGCTATGCCAAGCATTAACGCAATCTCATACAATCCTAACGGAGGACACATGAATCAGGTTTATTAAAATGCTTTTATATTAAATCTCATTTTTCGTATTCGTTGTTCAGGTGCAAGCCTTCGAGTTGATGAACACAACATCAAGCTCCAACAGGCAGTTGAACGATGCACTACACAGGCGTCCATTCCAACCGATAAACTTCAATTATGGGAATGCTTCAGTCGATAGACAACATCTTCCAAGTACCAGCCATGCTGTAATTCAGGAGCCGGGGCCCTCTAATTTTGTTACTAACACACTTAGCAACAACCAAGAGTCAGATAATAAACCAAACTCGGCTATAAAAACCAACGTAGACACCACAGCTCTTCTTGTAAGTATCAATTTATTCCTTAGCAATCTTACAATGCATTCGTACCTACAGAAAAAAGGCAACGAAAATATACGTATCTTTACCGGAACTCCCGAAAAAATTGTGAAATGGCACAGGCTGTACAGAAACTACTTCTGTTTCTACGAAGTTATAAGTATTTCTATGGTATTGCGATATGTACAAACACTGAGTGTTCACTTTTCAGGCGCGATCGTATCAATACAGGAAGGTACAGTGCGTTTGCAAAAAGTAATGTTGTTGCGTGACAAAAAGGGCCCGATATTACAAGTTGTCCATTATGTAAATGACCATATTGACATTGAAAATTTTTTCGTTGGTCAAATTTTGAGGTAATAGCTAATTGTAGTCAATTATGTTTGCAATGCTCAGTTTGCAGATGTGTCGGACGTATGGTTGGTCCAAGTGTAATGCACGGTTTAAGCATACGCCAGGCAAAACCTGACGAGATTGGTTCCCTTCAGCGCATGTGCTTCATTTCTGATCATGCCATTTCGAAATTGAAAAAAAATTAAGTGGTTTAATTGTAGATCTAAAGTTGCTAATATTAAGTTCTACCTAATTGTGTTTAAATTCTGAATTTGATGATTTTGTGTTAAAAATAAAATTCTGTTTTTGGTGGGCACATTATTAGTATTCTTATTTCAGAAGTGGGGTCTCCTATAAAAGATCCCTGTACCGTGGCTTTGAGAAGTATTGTACCCTTTAGTTTTAATCTCATTTTACTTCTGTAGGATGTAATATCTTTGAAAAAATCTAGAATTCTCCAGGAACAGCATCTTGTAGCATTCCCGCTTCACATCAGTGACAGTATATACAGAGTAGAGGTAGTTTCTCCTTGCTAATAAGTCTATCTACTTCGAGGTCCACATTCTGGAGGTGACTTTTCAATCAACAGGTTCCAGTAGGAGACCTGTATCTATTCATTCTTTAGTAAAATCTTGGCATGTTTCTGACCGTTGCTAGGTTCCTTCAATGTTGTTCATGTCATTCTTTCATTGAATAAAAAATAAGATTTCTGCACGGTCCAACCCAGAATTCCTTAGGATATTGTTTTTGTAATTAGAGGTGGGAGGGCAGGGCATGTGACGAACATCCTATCAGTGGATAAACGCCAACGATCTACATGGTCCAGCCCAGAATTCCTTACAATATCGTTTTTGCGATGAAGTTCGGAACGCTGGGCATGTATACAACTCGATAAGCACCTACAATTATTTTTTATGCTTTAATTTGGTACGGTTTGGTACTTATCTGTAGGTATACTTGGAAGTTATTACGTACCTATTGGCTATTTATACCACTATCTATGTTCACTTTTTACGTGTTTGAAACCTTTAAATAACAATAACTCTTCAAGTCCTTGTGTTACCTCTATGCTGAGATCCCAAATTCTGAGATCAAGCGATGGAATTTTTGACTTATGGTGAGTTTCCGAGTAATAGGTAGTAGTGTAGCTAGCTCGAAATCCACTGGACGAGAGTGGTCAAAATTTTAACCGATGGAGTTCCACTTTGGCGTATCCGAGTACCTATGCTAAAAACGACCGTCTTCCGCCTCAGGTCATATCACTTAAGGCACTGCGGTACAATTCTTGCGGTACCAATTCGAAGTTGTTTTTTTGAGAAAATATGTTTTACACCACATGAAAGCGTTGCGATAATAACTCTTACAAATATATTTAAAAAATTCGGAAACATTTGATTACGCATTAAAAAACAATTCTTAAGTCGGTTTTTCATGAACTTTCTACTATATATTTATGTGACTTTTTTTTTAATCAAATCTCATTTACTCGATCCTTATACGCGATCAATTGAGCGCACCCCTAACGTACGTATATCATAGTATTGTGTTATACATATTATGCGTGTATGTATATTGTACTTATAGGTACATTAATTTTATGTAGGTAATCTTAATCCAGGTGTTGGTTTTGTTTTCAGTTATTTGGAAAGTGTTCTACACGATCGTCTTGGACAAACCACTATTGGGAAGATTGTAAGACAAGTTACCAAAGAAATCTGGATATCAATGAAAAGCAACTTTATTCCTGTGGAAGTGAAGGTTTGTAGGGTGAGTAGGCTCATAAGTCAGACTTTGTTTAGTATTTTTATTAATTGGTAATCCAAATTTTCGGTCGCATTTTGCTGTCCTTCCTCAGTGGGACCACTGGGAAAAGGTTAACGATTAGCAAAATAAAATTTAACAAAGAGCTTACAATTGTGTTGTGTGCACTAAACACGTCGTTAACAAAATGGTGGTCGCCTCCATTTCTTGGTGAACAAATACATCAAAACATGTTTAAACAAGACACATTAAAATGTTTTGTGATGTTACCAAAAATCGCATACCCCACCCACCGCATTCTTGGAAGCGCTGCTAGTCGGGCCACAAAGGCTCAGTTTGCTAGGCTCCAACTGAATCAATTCTAGGCAATGTAGCCACCATGATGCCGTTGCCGTTGTGCCCTATAGTGTGAAAAAGGCTCTAAGAAATAGGTAGGTAATAGAACAAAGGTTTACTTTATTGCGCGTTGATAACCATCGAAACCAGCTTAGTGAACTAATGGCAATGATTGTATCGCAGTTAGCGACAATGTTTAGTTTCCTACATCTTGTGGCTTTGCCATAAATTCATGGAAATTTTGAATTTACTTATTCGCTGTAAGGTGAGTTGCCTATTCGTAGGGGTATGTCTCCACACCATATCCGAAAGACTCTTTGCCGAAAGTAACTATTGGCGGCTCAGCGACGGCGGCAGTGTTTCTGAAATAGGTGGGCGCCAATTGGTCCCAATCTTCTTAAGGTGGGCACCAACATTGTAGATTCTTCAGCAAATAAAAAAAATTGGCATACCGTAACTAAACATTTACTTATTCGATTATTCTCTAAAACAAATTTTAAAAAAAGTCCAAATTTGAGGCAGGGGCAGTTGGGCACTCTGCTTAACAGATTGGGCACGTGCCCACCCAGGCCCCCCTCTGGCGCCGTCGCTATGGCGGCTACGATTCCACAGAACTAAAAATTAATTTCTGTGTATGATCCTCCCGCTTATATAAATGCGCACAATCAGAACACATGTTCAAAAATTTAAAATATTTATCAATAATTAGGATTGGCCGGTTTTGTCCTAGAGCTAATATTTTGAACGATGTTAAAAAAAAACATGAGCAAATTTATAAAATCCCAAGTTTTATACAAGCAAACGACCTTCATCTTGCATTGTATTAGCAATTATCGTAAAATATAGTAAAATTGATCTGTATAGGTATTAGTATACAATGAGTTTTTTTTAAGACTGGCCATAGGATCGGTAGGTACATGCTAATTTTTCAACCCCTCCTGTTACCTTTTGTCTTCAGGAAAATATTCAATCCAGTTTTGTAGTAGGTAAACTTGTGGAGACCGATAAACTATTGAAGTATGTAATTCCAATTTAATATCTACAAGTAAGGAAATTTTTAGTAGGATGAAATTTCATCTGTTGTATTTTGTAGCAGTTACTAAGTTACGGTAGAGTTAGTAACGAGATAATTAATTTTGAATTTGAATTACATAAAATATACGTCGTTGTCAATTCTGTTAATTTGTGCGATAACATTTCCTGTTGAACCACCGCAGTGCATTATTCGAACCTCGGAGGCAACTGCACCGGGTATAGGAGCAGTGGAACCCCGAACACAACATCATCTGTCATTTGTAATTTTGATCTGACGTTTGTAACGATTCAACAAACTTTCACAAGGAAGAAAGTTATTTTCATAACAAAATAACCAGAAAGCGTCAATATTCAATAAAATAACAGCGCTAAGGGTTTGTAATTTTCACAGAAAAAAAGGTATAACAGGGGGTTAAAAAATTAACATCTAAAATCCTATGGTCAGTCTTAAAACAAAATCACCGTAATAGTTATGCCTGAGCTGAGAGCCTGATAAGATTCAAAGACGTTTTTTATGGAAATTACTTACATTCTACTGTCTTAACTGCGATTTATTACCTAGGTATAGTGCTTATTTATATTAGGAGGGCCCAGACTAGTAATACTAGTTTCGTCTGATATGTGTAGGTACCTATATAAAGTACCTACTGTTACAAATCCTATTTCGGGCAGTTAACATTTCTCGAGAAAGTTACTTTCGTATAGGTACTATATTATGTAGATATTTCGTAAAATGCGTAGGTTTTGCGGTGTGTAAGTATAGGTATTGACGTTCCGATTGGAATAAAGTCAGTTCAGTTAATAGTGTATTTAATATTAAGTAGCGATGTTCCTTTTTACACACTACTACGTTCTTCTATACAATGGTTATTGATACCAAAAAGTTTCTTATACAATATCCATACAATGTAAGATCACCGACAAAAGTAAGATAATCGGATGCTAACTGCCACTTAGGCAACCAACCATACACTATCGAAAATGGCAACGTTGAAGTGTAACTTTTCCGGCGGGAATTCGTGTGGGATCAGCCGCACGGCGTCACGCATTGTCGTGTTTGCTTTGGCGTTTCTTCGTCGCTGCCTTGACATAAACGCTACAGAAGGTGTAATTACAAGAAGGCGTTTGTTCTCAAATGAGATGTATTGATTGATAAATCCTCTTTATTTAACACTTGAAAATGGAACGAGTTCGTTCGGAAACATGTCGTGTACTACAATTTTTGTAAACTTTACTTCATTACATTTTATGGGGAGATCTTGGATTTTCACTTAATTCCGTTTACCCCATTCGGCGCTGGAACCATTACAATGTCAATCTTTTTTGCGTGTTGATTTTCCCAATAGGGAATATGCATGTGGTTTAAATTTACTTGATTCTTTCTCCCGCGAATATTTATTGTCCTGGCATTATACTTAAACCATTACTTTCTTATTTAGTTTGCTTTTAATTGCAAAAAATGTTAATTCAAAAGTACAAAAAAAGCAAACGAAATTCAAATTTGCGAAACGCATCACTATTGGACGAATGCAAGTGACGTCAAATGCCACGCGATCAGTCAAATTACGGTTTGGGCAGATTGGACTGGGTGTTGTCATTTCACTCAACGAAATCAAGTGTAGTAAAAAGATCCGCTGAATCCGAAAATCATAGTCCTCCTAGCCGAAAACTCCCGGAAGCGTATTGGCATTCTGTACTATTATTCAGAGCAGCCCTGGTCTGATTCGCAGTATACTATGACTTCACCTTATGCCCAATTTGATAATACATTATGTACTGCGATGCAGAGCACCGATATGGTTTAACATTTGTTTTATCAATGGTTTTATTACTAAAATCAGCTAACCACTTGTCGCACCAAACACTGTTAATATCTTCACCCGATTTTTAAGTCGAAGTTTCGCTTTAAATCCAGATAATTATTATAGGTACAGCGTTTCGGAACTCTTAAGGCTAAACCATATCGGTGCTCTGAATCGTCTTGCCCTTGTATTTTTATATTTTCTACCAAAAATGGCAATAATTTCCCCCACCCATACATTACTATTTAAGCGCAACACGAGTGTTAACAATGCACAGTTGTCAACTTGTCATGAGAATTGTGTATAGTTGTTCCCTAGTGCTATTAGTTCAAAGGGATTGAGAGTACGCGAATTATTCTCTCCCGTCTTTCTCAC